ATTTGTTTGTATACAATCTCCTGAACACAATTGCCAATATACTGCAGACTCATTGCCCTATGTAAAAGTAAAGAGCTACAGTCTCTCTTTTGTTTTTGCTGCAGGTCAATACTTTCCAGGGTGTTTTGACCACTGATGGAGAACTATACTTTGTCATGTTCAATTCTGCAGATATTCAGTGAACCAGGAATCCCAGCTGCAGGTAGGTCTGGGGAAGTTCTACATCAGAAGATCCCATTTGATTAACAGAACGTATTGCTCTCCCCCAAAATAAATCAATATTTGAAGAGCACTCGGAGGCTCCAACTGGCCCAGAATGCGGCCGCGCGGGTGGTTATGGGCGCAACTCGTTATGCCCATGTGACACCCCTCCTGCGCGAGCTGCACTGGCTCCCAGTGGTCTTCCGGGTGCGATTCAAGGTGTTAGTTACCACCTTTAAAGCACTCCATGGCATAGGACCCGGGTACCTCCGAGACCGTCTTCTGCCACCAATAGCCTCCCACCGACCAGTCCGTTCCCACAGGGAGGGTCTCCTCAGGGTGCCGTCAACCAAGTTATGTCGACTGGCGGCGCCCAGGGGGAGGGCCTTCTCTGTGGGAGCCCCATCCCTGTGGAACGAACTGCCCCTGGAAATTCGTAAGATCTCCGACCTCCGGGCGTTTAGCTGCGCACTGAAGACCCTATTATTCCGCCAGGCCGGACTAACAACACAATAGTTTTTTAAATTGGGATATTTAAATTTATTGGGGTTTTAAATCTGAGCCACTTTATTTAATTATTTTAAATTTTATATTGTTGTTTTGTTTGTGTTTTTAAACAGGCTGTACACCGCCCTGAGTCCTTCGGGAGAAGGGCGGTATAGAAATAAAATTATTATTATTATTATTATTAATAATATTAATAATAAAAATATGTTATTTTTATATAAAATTATTTATTAAAAATATTAATATTAATGATAAAAGGCAGGACAAGAAACAATGGATGAAAACTGATCAAGGAGAGAAGCAACCTGGAATTAAGGAGAAACTTCCTAAGTGAGAGCAATTAACCAGTGGAACACCTGGCCTTCAGAAGCTGTGGGCACTTCATCACTGGAGGTTTTTAAGAAGACACTGGACAGAAGAGACTTGTCTAGAATGATACAGGGCAGTGATGGCTAACCTTTTTGCCGTCACATGCCAAAAAGGGGGGAAGCACGGGGTGGTTACGTGGTTGCACACCCGTGTGCCCACACCCATAATCCAATGCCTCCCCACCCCCCCCCCCTGCGCGCGCAACCCCCCCCCCCCCCCCCCCCCCCCCCTGCTTTTAGCATGCGATGGCAAAAAGGTTACCAGTGGGCCCGGTAGGCCAGAGGTTTTCTTGGACCCTGGGGAGGATGAAAACGGCCTTCCCCACCCCCACCCGGAGGCCCTCCAGAGGCTGGAAACAGCCCGTTTCCCGACTTCTGGTGGACCTGGAAGACCCGAAAATCAGCTGGCCGGCACGCGCATGCGTGCTGGAGCTGAGCTAGGGAAACACTCATGTGCCCACAGATATGGCTCCACATGCCACTTGTGGCACACGTGCCATAGGTTTGCCATCACGGGTATAGGGTCTCCTGCTTGACCAGGGGGTTGGATTAGAAGACCTCCAAGGTCCCTTCCAGTTTTATTCTGATAATTAATATGTGCAATTTTAGATCAGTGTTTCTCAACCTTGGCAACTTTAAGATGTATAGGTGTCAACTCCAAAACCGGCAGGAGGCTCCGCCCACCGGCCCCGATGTCATCAAAACGCTTCTGCGCAAGCAAAGCAAATACATGCGCGCGGCCCCATTGCAAACCAGTAGTAAAGTAAGTAGAACCCACCCCTGGTCAACTCCCAGAATTCCCTAGCCATCACATTTAAGGCTTAGAATTTAGACATTGGTGTGTGGCACCAACACTTGCTAATAGTTCCTTATTTTACTTTCTTGGAGTATTTTTTGTTAAGGTCTCCCTCAGAAAGAAGTAAGGTTCTTTTTACTCTGTAATGAATTTTGTCTCATGACTTTTTCTCTGCAATTATCCCCAATATTGAAGCAAATAGAAACCAAAGTCCATCCGGTGCCACAGGAAGCTTCTGGTTCGATGCATATTGTCCCCTGGTTGACTTAACCGTGGATGACCATGGTCCTCAATCATCATTCCCAAGTGATGTGTATGAAAAGAGGTGTGTTGTGGCAAACCACTTGTGTCAGAAGAACCGAGGCGCTTCCAGGTTGAAAGGATCATTAGCCGGTGGCATCATTGTTGCCCGGAGGATATCCAGTTGGGGGTTCCTTTCATATCTCTGGCAGGAGCTAGAGCAGGGGTGTCCAATTCAAGGCCCGCAGGTCGGATTTGGCCCATGGGGTGCTTAAATCTGGCCCACAGGGCTGGTCTGGGAATTTCAAAGGACTGGCCGGTGGTGCCTCTGCCGGTGAAAACAGAGCAAGTATGGGTCCTCCACAGCTCATTTTCAGCCTGAATGGCCTCCTGCAGCACTCTGCTGGCCAAAAATGGGGAGTGCAGAGACCTTGTGAAGCCTGTGAGGCCCATTTTCAGCTCATTTTCGGCCGGCAGAGTGCTGCAGGAAACAATGGAGGGTAAAAACAGGATGCAGGGGGGTGTATGTGGCCCCACATGCCCCGTTTTGGCCAGCAGGGTGCTGCAGGAGACATACTTCCCATCTCCCTCCCACTCCCCCCACCCGCCGGCCCACGGAGAACTAATGCTGATCCAGCCATCAAAGAAATCCAGTTTGACACCCCTGAGCTAGAGCGAAGGATGGGAATGGAGCTCAACCCTGCCCCACGGCAGCACTCGGGTCTCAAACGCAGGCTTGCTAACCTCCTACCGAGCATCCTTACCACATGAGCCACCATGCTCCCTTAAGGTGTGCTGTTAGACCTTAAGTAAACAATTCAAGGAGTATTGGATTCTTCATCTGCAAAAATGTCAAGAGAATGTCAGTAGGGAAATCATTTCTGGCCAAACACAAATCCATACAGCTGGTAATCAGCTGGCATTTTTCACACCAGTGACACCCACCCCCCAGACTTGACCTGACGTGTAATGTGATTGATATTGATAAGAATCTTGAATTTCAATCCTCTCTCCAAAACGAGAATGCAGAGATTACTAGCTGCAGTCATTGACTACTCTGTATATGCAAGAGGTGAGGATTTTAAATCTTAGGAACATTGAAGAGAATGCCATGAAGATCACTAGATGCTATAGTTGTTTCATATTCCACAGGGTGGCAGACTTGGACATCATTTTCCACACTACACTTCTCAAAATATCCATCTAAGAACTTTTGCATTTGCTGGTTCCGCTGTTGAAATAATAATATTTGATTCCCTCCAATGGTGGGTTTCAGATTTTGCTACTACCGGTTCGCCCCCCGCTAATCCCACCAACTGCCAGCAGTTCGATTCTGACCGGCTCAAGGTTGACTCAGCCTTCCATTCTTCCGAGGTGGGTAAAATGAGGACCCAGATTGTTGGGGGCAATAGGCTGACTCTGTAAACCGCTTAGAGAGGGTTGTAAAGCACTGTGAAGCGATATATAACTCTTAAGTGCTATTGCTGTTGCTATTACGACCACAACTGATCCCAACATTTCTATTGGTAAGTGAAACAGTTGTTATGTGAGTTTTGCACCTACTTTACGACTTTTCTTCAGTGGTTAAGTGAATCACAGCAGTTGTTAAATTAGTCACATGGTTATTAAGTGAATCTGGCGTCCCCATTGACTTGACTTGTCAGAAGGTTGCAAAAGAGATATCACATGATCCCGGGAACCTGTAACCGTTATAAATATGAACCAGTTGCCAAATGTCTGCATTGTGATCATATGACCAAGGAGATGCTGCAATGGTCGTAAGTGTGAAAAGCGGTCATAAGTCATTTTTTTCAGTGCCATTGCAACTTCACACCTTCTCTAAATGAATGGTTATAAGTCAAGGACTATTGGTATAATAGAATGACTCAAGTCAGAATGTGTTTTACTTCCCCTCCTTCTTATACCCCAGTGAATCAGGGAGTCATTTCCCTAAGTTGCTTTCAATATTACCTTGCTTCCTAGGTCTTAAAGAATGCTTCAGCCGGCTTTTAACAGTTTTTTTTTAAATGGGTCATGTGATCAGCTCATCAACTCCACTGCTACCATTTTCATTCTGGTTATGTGCCACCAAGTCAGTGCCAGCTCTTGTGACCATCTTCTCCCGGATGATGATCTGTTTCCAATCTGGCTCTTTGGGTCTTCCAACTATATGCTCATCACTGCTGTAATCCAGCAAACATACTGTTGGTTTGGTTTGGTTTGGTTTGGTTTGGTTTGGTTTGGTTAGGTTTGGTTTGGTTTGGTTTAGAATAGAATAGAATAGAATAGAATAGAATAGAATAGAATAGAATAGAATAGAATAGAATAGAATAGAATAGAATGACAGAGTTGGAAGGGACCTTGGAGGTCTTCTAGTCCAACCCTCTGCTTAGGCAAGAAACCCTACACCATTTCAGACAAATGGTTAGCCAACCTCTTCTTAAAAACTTCCAGTGTTGGAGCATTCACTAGTCCTGGAGGCAAGTGGTTCCACTGATTAATTGTTAATTTCTCCTTAGTTCTAAATTGCTTCTCTCCTTGATTAGTTTCCACCCATTACTTCTTGTCCTACCCTCAGGTGCTGTCTTCTTCTCTTTCTTTCTAGCTTTTCTGGCATTACAGACTTCCCAAGGGAGATAGGAGAAAATGTAGTGTCCAAAATATAATAATTGGTCCCTGCTTATTTGTCCCTTTTTATTAGCTAGAATATTTTATGATAAATATAGTTGATAAATATTTTATGATAAATATAGTTGAATGACCAATTGCCAATTGTCGATGATAAAAGAGGCTAGGAATTGTAGCTTAGCATCACCTGAAGAGTCCCAAATCCTATAATCCCAACATATAAAATAAGCACTCCCCAAAGAAGATAATAAGCCAGAAAGTTGCTCGGTTACCATTTTATAGAACCACTGTTCTTACAGCCTACAGTGAATACCATATTCACTCATTTTAAAAATGAGTCCATTATCTATGTTTGGCATCATTCATCCATTTATTCATTCATATTGTGATACTTATACACTGTCAAATTTATATCCATCCTCAGCAGTCTACAATATGTAAAATCCATAAAATAAAGACCATGCCACCACAGCAGAAAAAAGAAAAAACAAACCCTGTATCTGATCATCTCTAGAAGTCTTTGAAAAGCAATTTTTCTATCACCAAAGAGCTTTATCTGTACGTCCTCCAGAAGATGCAATGGAGGGTACCATCCAGTTCTCCAGAAGCATGGTGTTCCTTAGGAGAGGAATATCAGTGGAACTGCAGTGTGCTCTTCCACTCGTTCTTCAGATCTAGTTGGATTGGAGTGATATGCCCCTCTGGGCTGAGCGCACTGAACAGGTTGGTTCCTCCGAGAAGCAGGTGGTCCTGCATGGATTTTAAAAAAAGTACCAAGATCTTAAGAGGTTGAGAGGTTACAAAACAGCACTTTAAACTGTACTCTGAAGCATATTGGCAATCAGCACAGTGCCTGACAGAGTATATTACTGCTATTATATGGCACTAACAGCTCTCACCCTTCACAGGTATTGCGCTGCTACATTCTGCACATTATGGTTTAAGATTATCATCTTACAATTTCTGTCATTAGAAATTCATCCTTGGTTGCTAGGATATTAAAATGCATTAGAAAAAGTAAAGCAGCGAATATCCACGCGCTGTTCTTTCTGAAGTGGTTCCAAGGCTATTTTGCAAAATTGCAAAATCAATTCCAAAAAAATCAATAAACCCATCAATAAAACTCAGTGGGAATAATTCATCCAATTTCTGCAAGGCATCAAGTAGTAAGTGAACATTTATTAGTCATTCATTCAATTACATTGGGATTACCTTTTTAAAAAAATCTAATATGTTAATGAAAATTTATATAGATTTTGGAACTCAGTTGATGATAGCCCTAAAAGTCAGTATGGCCAATCAAGAATGAAGACTGATGTCAACCCAACTATCTGGACTTTGTTGTGTTAAGGGACCAGTAGTTGTGCTAGTCTACGGGGAAATGTGCATCATGTAAAACCCAAAGTTTTATTCTTTTTTCTTTTGCATCATTCATATGCAAATTTAGTTTGAGAGTCAATTAAATTGCCCCACCTTAATCAAGTAAATCAATTAGAACTCACAACCAGCTAAGATTTCCTCAGTGGTGACGGCCCTATTTAGAAGTAATGATCCTTCTTTAATAGATCAATCAGCAGCACTGAGTTGAAACTCATTGGAGAAGACATTCAGCAAGGGAACCACCAAAGTAGCAATTAGTTTTTGAGGGCTAAATAACTTGTAAATTTTGGCTTTTCAGTTTGGCTGGCTTGCTCAGCACAAACATTATCAATAGGAGTGGATTATAGAAAAAGTTAAGAATGGAGACTAACATTCCAAGGTACAGCAATTTCACAGGACAGTAAAGAACCAAAGCTGAAAACTGATGTAATCCTATAAACGATGATTTTGTGCTGCACTATTATTCCACTTATAATTATTGTACATTATTCATCAAGTGGCAACTAGCACTTAATTTGATTAGTACTTTTAATTGTTGGCTGAATGACTGTTAATTTAAGGTTCATTAAACAAGACATTACAAAATAAAAACAGGTTTTGCTCTGTTAGGAAACTTAATTAAGAAATGGCTTATTTAACTCACTGCAGCAGATGCAGCAAACTTAAATTTGACTAGGGAACTGACAAATTTCACATACATCCATTATATCTGTGTGACCAAGGAAGGATTACCCTAGTTAATCTTCTTGCTATTCAGACTGGGGGGAGCTTCCCAGTTTGACCTTCAACTAACTCAGGAACCAAAGCTATATTTTATTTCACGTAAATTTAGATGCAAACTGCACATCACATTTTTCATGGTTGTTCCAACCCCCACCCCCACCCCAATCTGTTTTCAGTTATTTTATTGGAAAGAATAAAAGTTAAAGACCCTCTTGAGTCAACACCAGCTGGCCGCTTTACAAAAGCGGTTTGCTAATGTCTTCCTGTAATGCAATTTTTCAAATCCTAGCTTAGCCTACAATCCTAGGATTTCCCGATATCGCCAGTGCAAGTCCAATCCTGTTTTTAAAAATATTATTATTATTTTTTTAAATCTGCCAAAATTGCTGCCTGATTATACCTTACCGCTTTAAAAGTCCTTGGCCTTCCAAGCATAGAGAGCCTCAGCAGTGTTCGCAGATTCCCCATTTGGCAATTTCCAGTCATCTGTGGGGTCTCCATTGAAGTTCCCACATGGTCCACATAACTTCTTTGGAGGGATATCCTTGACTTTCACGGTTACCCCACCGTCAGGAGAAAATTGAACTTGTATATCAGAAGCCCGGGCAATCACAATCCCATTCTGTTCCTTGCTTAAAGTCAGGCGTTTGGAAACTTTGTACGGAAGGTTTACTGACCGTCCATTCACCTAGTAAACATAAAATATTGGGACATTAAAAAAAACCATTCTGAGCAAGCCCAAGAATACCACGTGTCCAATCCTGAAAGTTACGAAGAGTGTTTAAAAAAACTGTCTGTAGACATAATATTCATCAGAAGCTGCCCAAATTTATATTAAAGAAGTTGTTGGTCTTTGTTAGTCAAATACAATGGCATATGGCACTGGTGACGAACCTATGGCATGCATGCCAGAGGTAACAGTAAGAGTAAGAGAGTTGGAAGGGGCCTTGGAGGTCATCTAGTCCAACCCCCTGCTCACGCAGGAGACCTGTACTAGGGATTTGAACCGCCGAACTGCCGACCTTTTTAATCGACAAGCTTAGTGTCTTAGTCACACACAGAGCCCTCTCTGTGGGCATGCGAGCCGTCCCCCCAGCTTGGCTCTGTCACGCATGCACGGCTGCCTCCCACCGGCAGCTGGTCTTTGGGTCTCTGCTGCGTGTGAACAGGGGCTGGAGTGCATGTGGGGGAGAGAGACGCTTGCGAGGTGTGTATACGCATGTGTGGGGCACATGGCGCATGCGCAGGGTAGGGCACATGCGCGGGGATGTGTGTGCATGTGAATGGGCTGGGGGCGCATGCACAGGGGTGGGGCACATGCATGGAGGATGCACATGCATTGCATTTTGGGGATGCGCGCGCACACGTGTTCTTTGGGCACTCAGTGCCGAAAAGGTTAGCCATCACTGGCATATGGTTATCTCCTGGAGTACTGCTAATCCTCGACTTACAACCACAATTGAGCCCAAAATTTCTGTTGTGAAATGAAACATTTGTCCAGTGAGTTTTGCCCCATTTTACAACCTTGCTTGCCCACAGTTGTTAAGTGAATCGCTGCACTTGGTAAGTTAGTAACCCGGTTGTTAAGTGAATCTGGCTTCCCCGTTGACTTTGCTTGTCTGGAGGTTGCAAAAAAGGATCACATGACTCTGGGACACCGCCACCGTCGTAAATATGAACCGGTTGCCAAGCATTTGAATTTTGATCACGTGATCATGGGGAGGCTTCGAAGGTTGTAAGTGTGAAAAAACAGTCATAAGTCACTTTTTTCAGTGCTGTTGTAACTTTGAATGGTCACTAAATGAACTCTTGTAAGTCGAAGACTACCAGTAATTGGGGTTTGGAATATTTGGATAGATCCAAGGCAGAATTTAATATTTTTGCGGGAAGACAAGGTAATAATGGAATGGACAGTTAATGAGAAATGGGTAGGACATATCACATGCATGGATATATTTTTCAAGGTATTGGAAAAGTGTGAAATTTGCATACAAAAATATGCCTATTGTTGATTATGAATGTAATTTTTTTTCTAAGGTTTATTTTAGGGTTGTTGGCAAAATCACAAAATTAATCAAAGAAGCAGAATAACACATAAACGCTGGAAACACGGAAATGGAGCAGATTTCAGCTAATTAGCAGACTTGGTGATAGAAGATGAAGGCAGAGAAGGAAAGCAGCTTTCAAGGATGCTGGACAGAGGTGGGTTTCAGCAGGTTCTGACCAGTTCTGGAAAACCGGTAGCGGAAATTTTGAGAACTGGTAAATACCACCTCTGACTGGCCCCACCCCCATCTATTATCTGCCTCCCAGCTGATTAGGAGGAAATGGAGATTTTACAGTATCCTTCCCCTGGATTGGGGTGGGAATGGAGATTTCACAGTATCCTTCCCCTGCCACGCCCACCAAGCCATGCCGTGCCCACCAAGCCACACCCACAGAACCGGTAGTAAAAAAATTTGAAACCCACCACTGATGCTGGGTACAATTTCCTGATTGACTTAAGAGCTGCTTGATCCTTTTCCCAGCCTTCTCACTTACCCATATCCGGTTGTTCTTTTTCAGAGTAATGGCAGCCTCTCCAAAATAAACATGAACAGCCCTGACCACTGACAGGTTATCTTCATAGTCCTTTCCGATGTTGACAGATACCCTGAACCAGGAGGGGTCTCTCTCATCACACACGGAGGACACATCATAAACCCCACCGCAGAAGTTCCATCCTGCTGAAGTTCCATCAAAAGAAACAAGTTTGGCCTCTCGGGAAATTTTGCACTGGCCTTCTCTGTGCTCACAGCCACGCACGCCATTTTGAAGAACGCAGATTTCTTCACCCCGGCATGCTGTTTCCTCAAAGGTGATTTGATTCAGACTTTGACAAGTCCATTTCTCGGTGCAGTTAGTTGAAAAGATGCTTTCTCCAGCCTATGAGGATAATCCCCCAGTTGCAGAAGACATGGAAAAAACAAGGAAGAGTGACTAGATTTGCACAGGGCTATGCCCTTTATCAGAATGGTGTCTATGCTGGCTGTGGAATTCTAGGAACTGAAATCCAGAGATATTAAACCTGCTGAGAGTGAGAAACACTGAGAAATTTGGATGTTACATACTATTAATATAGTATGTAACCGAGGTATTTACGAGACCGCCTTCTGCTACCAATAGCCTCTCACCGACCAGTACGCTCCCATAGAGAGGGGCTTCTCAGGGTGCCGTCGGCCAAACAGTGTCGACTGGCGGCCCCTAGGGGGAGAGCCTTCTCTGTGGGGGCACCTACCATCTGGAACGAGCTCCCCCCAGAGATACGGAGGATCCCAGATCTGCGCACGTTTCGTCGTGCTCTCAAAACTTTTTTATTTCAGCAGGCTGGCCTGGCCTAACTCTCTCTTTTAAATTTTTAAATCGTTTGATTTGTTTTATAAATTGGGTGTTTTAATCTGTGTTTCGGCCAAAATATTTAATAATTTTAAGGGACTTTTAATGTTTGTATTATCTGTATTTTATCTTGGCTGTTCACCGCCCTGAGTCCTCCGGGAGTAGGGCGGTATAGAAATTTGATAAATAAATAAATAAATAAATATTAAGTCTCCATGTACAGTAGGTACAATGAGGCATGGTGGTGAAATGGTTAAAATGCAGGTGAACTATTGCAGGCTAGCTCTGTTCACAGCCAAGAGTTCAATCCTGACCGGCTCAAGATTGATTCAGCCTTCCATCCTTCCGAGATCATTAAAATAAGGACCCAAAGTTCCCAAACCACTTAGAGCCGTGATGGCGAACCTATGGCATGCATGCCACAGGTGGCACACGGAGCCATCTCTGAGAGCATGTGAGCCATTTCCCTAGGTCAGCTCCACTGTGCATGCGTGTGCACCAGCCAGCTGATTTTGGGCTGGCCCCGCCCGTGCTGCCCCTCCCCTCCCAGGAGTCTCCAGGTGGTCCATTTTGAATGTCAGGTAAGTACAGGGCTCATGTGGAGGCTCTGGGAGGAAGAAAAACGGGCCTCCTCTGGTGCTTTGTAGAATAATTTGACCCACTCTCTTTGTGGCAGCCCCTCAAACCCTGGAATACTATGTAGAGATTCTAGGCTGATCCCTCTTTTAATTCCATCCCCAAGTTCTGCCACTCCTCTTATATCTATGTGGTCACCAGGAGTCAAAAACTGACTGGGTGTTATGATCCGCCAGCAGCCTGCAGAGCTGGCGGCAGAGTCAGATAGTGAGGAGGTTGGGGAGGAACATGGACCAGTCCTGGAGTCTGGGAAAGGTCCGGATGAGAGCTCTGCATCGGAAGCAGAGATGGGGCCTGGGAGTGATGTGCGGACTCCCAGAGCTCCCAGAGTCGGACAGCAGAGAGGCAGAGGAACAGAAGGAACCTGTTCCTAGTGCACGCATACACAGAGCTGTCAGAAGGCAAGAGCAGCTAAAGCAAAAGGGACGACTCAGGAGTAAGGCCAAGAGATTACTGGCCCCTCCCATAAGGCTTAAAAGAGAAACAAAGGCACTTGGGGCCTTTTGCAGGAAAGCAATGTTGCTAACTCTGTTTCCAGTCGGCATCTCTTGTTTGTTTCTGAACTTCGTGTGGCTTTGCCAAGTAAGGCCTTTGACATGGTGCCAAAGAAGATAAAGGTTGGTGATTATCCAGAAAGACTTCTTCCAAAGGACTTGTTTTGCAGTTAATTGGGACTCAGCTGGGAATGAGCGTAATTCTCAGCTGTTACAATAAAATAGGTTTATTTGGGACTAATTGTGTCTTGTAATGACTCAGTAAGCCTAGGTCACAACACTGGGCTGCCCAGCTTACCTTCAAGTAGAGTCCACTGAATGTACAGCCACACTTTTCCAGAGGTACGCATGCATTCCCATCAAACATGTAGCCATCATTACATCGGCAACCTTCAAAACAATTCCTAGTGCATTGCACTGCTGAGAAGAAACTGGCACAGCTGGAATCGCAAGCTCTAATGCACGTCTCATAGTGGCTATTAGCTGGACAGAGGAGAGCTGAAGAGGTAAAAGGAGAAAAGGTTTGCCAAATGTTTTCCTTCTGCCGCTGAATAAAATATAAGTAGGAGGAAGCTTTAGCAACACGGAAGCAGGTTTTCCTCTATTACAATAGATTACCCAGGTTCTCTGCGTCACATGGAGTTTTTCTCATATAATAATTGCAAATACAGAGTCAACAAGAAACCGATATCAATGCTGGAAAAATGAACAAACACCACGAGATGAAGAAATAGCTAAGAAGATACTGGAGTGTGCAGAAATGGACAGACTGAACATTAAAAGATACAGAATATTATCAAACATGGAATCTATTTTATTAACGGTTAGAAAAAAGGGGTGTAATTAAGAATATAATATGTATTGTTAAACAAATTAAATTAACCAGACAACACGATATTTATTAAGCATTAAGAAATGTAATTAATAAAAAAAATCAATTAAAAAAAATAAATCTGAAATGGGGCTTATCAAAATATAACATTCAGAAAGGGGTTTGGAAATATAATCTACATTTAATGCTACTTTTCTCACTCTTTCTGTAATCCAATTTTGGAAGAAAGTAGCATTGGATTAAGGTTTGTGTAGGAGAAAAGGAGAAAAGAGACTCTCTTACAGGAAAAACTGGCAAGAAAGATAAGTCTAACAGCTGGGGATTATCAATCCTAGATATGAGGAATTTATCTCAATTGTACTGGCAGTTTCTTAAAGTATCCATAAGAGGCATTCTGTCAAGTTTGTTTCACTTGTCAGCATAGCCTTGGAACCAGGTTAATTTAAACCTGGCTCAAATTACAGCAGTTTCCCAACCTTTCCAGGTTTGTGGACCAGCCAGGGGGAAAGACAGGGGGAGAGGAGATGGTTCCACGTTAGTGGCTGGCATGCATGTGGTCATGCAAACAGAGTGCCTGTCCACTGTCCACCGCAAACAGATGTGGCTGTCCACTGCTTACACAAGTGGGGATGCGTGCACATATGTGTGCGATCCCCCACCATTTCTGTGACTTGGTTGCAAACAGGTCACGACCCACTAGTGGGCTGTGGCCCTGAGGTTGGGGACCCAGGGATGCTATTCAGCAGGTTCTGACAGGTTCTGGAGAACTGGTAGTGGAAATTTTAAGTAGTTTGGAGAACCGGCAAATACCACCTCTGGCTGGCCCCAGAGTGGGGTGGGAATGGAGATTTTGCAATATCCTTCCCCTGCCACGCCCACCAAGCCACGCCCACCAAGCCACACCATGCCCACCAAGCCACGCCCACAGAACCGGTAGTAAAAAAAAATTGAATTCCACCACTGTTAGAGACCCTTGAATTACGGTATTTCCCTTGATAAGGGAAGCCGACTTTATAAACTTACGACAAGAGACAGCTGTTCTCCAGTCATCGATTTTAGCTCCAGTTGCTTGACATTTAGCGGTGTAAGCTTGAAAGTTTTGACAGAGAGATCCCTCGCCGACAACTTGCATGTCGTACAGGCAGTTGTGAAAGAACTCCATAGGACTCACAAAAGAATGACAGTCTTTGAATGGACCCACCTCAAGTGTGAGGAGGCCACAGTATCTGTCACCTTCATATGGTATTGTTTGGGACTCGTCATAAGCAGGGAGCGTGTGCACACAGTTCTTAGAGCAAACGCTCCCAGCTTTGGGGACTTCCCATGAGATTCCAAAGTCATCAGCACTTGGGGTGAGAGTTCCATCTGGCATCAAGAAATCATCATCCAAGTTATTGTTGAAATTGCCACCAAGCCCAGATGTCTGCTCTTGGTAACTCCTAGGCACATAAACTTCGACATAGTTGGCAGTGTCATAAATGACTTTGAAACCTTCAGATGACTGAACAATAATATTATTCCCTTCTTGGTGGATCTGAAGTTGTCCATCGTCTCTGCTAAATGGTAGGTTGTAAAGCTCGTCTTGTACCTTGAAGAAGGAAACAAGAATAAATAATGAATTATTTGCTACAATTTTGCAGGTGCATGGCAGATTAACATTAATTCCTCTGGAAATTAATAGAATAGAAGGTGGCACATATTGCCATGTAGGAATGGAACACAGTCAATGAAAGCAGAGCTTTCACAAAATACAGCTTTTAGCTACAGTATAATGCAGTGTTTCTTAACCTTGGCAACTTTCAAATGTGTGGACTTCATCTCCCAGAATTCCCCAGCTGGCATGAATTCTGGGAGTTGAAGTCCACGTATCTGAAAGTTGCCAAGGTGGAGAAACACTGGTGTAATGTATGAATCATTCTCTCTCAAATCCTACCTCAGCATCCATTGCAGCACATAGAAAAAAAAAACCATAATGTAAAAAAGTCTTGGATCTGGGATCGTCTTCTTCGTAGACTGATATATAGCCTTGGTGGTACAGCAGACTAAAGTACTTTTAAGTAGCACCAGCTGCCTGCAATTACTGCAAGTTCAAATCTCACCAGGCTCAAGGTTGACTCAGCCTTCCATCCTTTCAAGGTAGGTAAAATGAGGACCCAGATTGTGGGGGCAATAAACTGACTTTGTATAAAAAAGAACACCGCTTGTGGGGGGCCGAAAGCTCTACTAAGCAGGTATATACAAAAGTATGAAGGCTATTGCTTAATGCATTGTAAGCCGCCCTGAGTCTCCGGAGAAGGGCGGCATATAAATCGAACCAATAAATATATATTTTACTGATAAAGAAATAAAGGTAAAATATATTTGGTATAAAAAAATGGTTTGTTGTGGATGCAACTGCTTGAGGGCTCCTGGGTTGGAGCTGAAAGGCAAAAGAGAACAGCATGCTCTCTCCCACATGTTGGAGTAGACCAGGTGTCTCGGTAAAACACTTAATATATATATATATATATATTCTTACTTCTTCGTAGGGTTTATGTGTGTTTTTCCTCTAGCCAGGTTTTCCCTACGTAACCAAGGTTTTTCTGCAGCCCCAGCTCAGTAGAATCACATCCACTCGATTCTGGGCTTTTTTCTTTTCTAGCAGCCCGCAAGCTCTTCCTGCTAGGTGGGAGACCTATATAGATCTATTTCCAGCTCGTTTGCTTTCATCAGTAGGCCACACCCACATCTTATGTATCCTCCCTGTAAAGGTATAGTATCTATTTTCTTATAGATATTTTATTCTATTTTCTTAACCAGCTTTTCTAGCTGGCTGCTAGAAAAGAAAAAAGCCCAGAATTGAGTGGATGTGATTCTACTGAGCTGGGGCTGCAGAAAAACCTTGGTTACGTAGGGAAAACCTGGCTAGAGGAAAAGAGGTCTTCTAATCCAACCCCCTTACTCAGGCAGGAAATCCTATACCATTTCAGACAAATGGCTGTCCAATCTTTTCTTAAAAACTTCCAGTGTTGAAGGACCCACAACTTCTGGAGGCAAGTCTTTCCAATGATTCATTGTCCTCACTGTTAGGACATTTTTCCTTAGTTCTAGGTTGCTTCTCTCCTTGATTAGTTTCCATCCATTGCCATAAATCCATTGAATGTTATTTTACTTTTTTTAAGGGATAAGGAGGAAAGCATAGAATCTAAACTAAAAAAAAAATTAAACCAAAGGTATCTATATACAGAGAAATTATTGTTCCTGTTCACATTATTTTTCATATAGTTGCTCACAAGGAGATATTATCATACGTTAATACGTTAGGCGCTTACCTTAGCTTGCCACTTCTTTCCTCTCTCCAGGACAATAGTATGTCCATGTATGTCAATGACAACTGATGTTATTTCAACTAAAGATCCATTATCAGCATTCTCATGTTCCACCACCACAGAAAACATCACCTGCTGAGTATCTTTGTTGGTTACTTGAGTTAAGATGTAAGAGCCGGAGCCAGCAAAATCAAAACTCTTCCCATCAAAGGTAGTATAATGGCTTCCACCAGATGTTATCACTGTTCCATAACCGACAGGGTAACAGCCCTGGATGCCATTCTCCACCCTGCACTCCTCATAACTCCCACAGGAAAACTGATGGCAGTCAACAGCACCAATGTCCACACAACGACACTTCTCCTGACAAGCGTTTGTAGGGTAGAACTCTGCTCCCTTTTTGTAGTACCTGCCCTCATGCACACAACCACACTCAGTAACAGGGACGCACTCGTCCCCGTTGAGGATGAATCCAGAGTCGCAGACGCAGCCTTCAACGCAGGGAGCATCGCAAGAGATGGAACTGAAAAGATTGTGACAGGTGGAAGGGCAGCCATTTCCACATAATTCGTAGTGGGAATGAGGTGGACAGGAAAAACCTGGAAGAGATGGATGATAAGATAGATTGTCAATACAGCATTCCAAGTATTGACTTTAGGAACCCTGAAGATATAATGTTGATCCATCCACATGTTGCTCTGGTGTAGGGGTTTCCAAATATTTTGAGGCCTATCACTAATAGGTTAAGGAACCAGGTTAGAAAGCAAGAGACCATGAATTCAAGACCCACTTTAACCATGACAGACAGCTAGGTGACTTTGAGCCAATCACCAGAAGATCATGAGTTCAAGACCCATCTTAACCATGACAGATAGCTAGGTGAATTTGAGCCAATCACCAGAAGATCATGAGTTCAAGACCCACCTTAACCATGACAGACAGCTAGGTGACTTTGAGCCAATCACTAAGAGACTGAACATTCCAATCCCACCTTAGGCCTGAAAGCCAGCTGGGTGACTTTGAGCCAATCACCAGAAGATCATGAGTTCAAGTCCTGCCTTAGGCATGAAAGCTGGCTGGGTGGCAGTCATTCTCTCTCAGTCCAATCCTCATCACAGGGTTGTGTTGTTGGAAAAATAAGAGGAGGAAGGGGTAAATATGTTCACTGCCGTGAGTTATTAGTACAAACAATAATGGCGGGATATAAATAATCAAATAAAAATAAATGAATAAATAAATGGCTCCCTATATCACCTATCCCCATATCTTGTGCATGGATTTCAAAATGGGGAAAGTTGACCTATATATGAATTTTCCATGAATTTTGAAACATCTCTTATGTGTGTGTGTGGTGGAGGGGGAGGTCATGTTCAGGATCCTTTTTATTGGTACTTATTTATAAGAACTGTCTATCCAATCCTTCTAATCCAGGGGTCTCACCAACCTTGGCAACTTTAAGACTTGTGGACTTCAACTTCCAGAGTTGAATTCAATTCTGGGAATCCACAAGTCTTAAAATTGCCAAGGTTGGAGATCCCTGTTCTAATCCATGTGCAGGACAAATATTACTGCCTCACTGCCCTTTCTGTGCTTAGAAAACTCTCTATCCACCTTGTAAATGAAGGGAATTTCTCTTCCTGTATTAATTACAGCAAAAAATTACCATTTCTCCCTTGCATCCGAATAATGTTTGCTGAGAAATATATGTTGCTTATTTGAAATAAGACTTAGAACAGTGTCTCTTGCCTGATCTATTGAAGCTTTAGGTGTCTGTAATGGTACAAATGGGATAAAGATCTGATCAAGTGGGAATGTCTAAGCCTTTCTCTTCATCCCTAATTCTAGAAGAAATAACTTTCAAAAAGGCCGTTTCCTATGGCATTTTTGCATAGCATCAAAACATTAAATATGCTCTTTCTTCAGATATTTTAGCTGTGGGCTATGGATAAATTATGATTCAGTGATTCAGTTAAATCATTAAAATATACGAATAACCAACTATTTCCATTTACCAGTTTTTAACATGAGAGATAAGACTGTGGAGAACGAAAAATGTTCTCCAAAGTTCTGGTTATTAAATAGATCCCAGTATAATGGAAAATCTAAGCAACACAGTAATAGCTTTATGTTTAAACAGCAGTGTTTTAAAAAGTGTTAATTATCCTGTTTGGAGATTTATAACTCCCCAAACTTGAGACTTGACAGAAAGAAGAAGGGAATTAATATTATTAAAGTCTCATCAATTTCAGATGCCTCTATAGATAACATAATGTTGTTGGAGTCTATCTTCCTGTAACTTATGTACCATTGATCGTGTTTCATGCTTTGGAATAATAAAACATGGAGCTGTATTAAGTATTAATGAGCAGAATGGCATATTCACCCCAAGACTTAATTAGACAGAAATCCCTGTCATTTAAAAAAATTCATAAAATTATACATACTGCAAAAGGAGTTGGATCGCCACGGCTTAATTTGGATATTTTGAGCTTGGCAGGTTGTGGCATAAGTAGCGATGGCCCCACAAAAAACATCTGGGTGTCCCTTGTATGTGCAGGTGTCAAAGACACAATCTTCAAAGAAGTTTATTGGGTCAATTGTCCTGTGACATGGCGCAAAAGGTCCATTGCTTTTGGTGAGGATCCCACAGTAACGTTCTACTTGGTAGGTTCGTTTCTCAGCCTCACTGCATTTTTGGCATTTACCGGTGCATCCTGTAGAACACCCGGGGACATCCTTCACTTTCAAGCTGTTTGCAAATTGTGTTATATCACTGGTTTGACTTCCATCCTGCATGCCAAAATCATCATGACGATTCTGGTTGGCATTGCCACAGAGTCCATAGACCGAATTGGCGTACGTACTGGGAAGAATGACCCTGGCGTAGCTGGACCAGTCATACGTGATTGTCAAATCGAAATCGGTTTGAATGAAGCCATGAGCCCCACTCTGGTAGACACTTAGTTTATTTTCGTAAGAAAAGGGTAAATCCACTAAAACGCCATTGACCTAAAAGACAAACAATCCAGAGGTTTTAGCAAATTCAGAAAATGGGGTCCTAAGATGATTTAAGCCATTGCTGTCAACTTGCAAAGCATCCCTGGCCTGCTCTCAAGTTGCCATAGGCCAGGGGGGGATAGGAAACCGGCAAAATGGCACAGCAGCCAAAGACAGATGCACATTCCACACTTATCTCTCTCAAGGCTGTATCCCAGGGTTACCTACAGCAGTCAAGGGGAGTGACCTCTAAATTGCTCCGTTGGTGAATGGGGGGGAGGGGGGAAACAGGGTCATAATTGGAGTGTAAATTACATAGGGTCAGAGCTGGCATAAACAACTGGATTTCTTTTGAAGCTTGGCTCGAGACTCATGATTTAATTAGGGGTCAGAAGTCTGATTACTGCATTCACTAGTGACTTATGATGTCTTTATGGCCTCACCCAGCCACCACTTAAGTGATATAAAGCCTTTTATATTGATTCGATGAGAGTTGGATGTCTCAAGAAAATGCTTTAAGTTGCTATAGGGGAAATGGTTTAAGATTAGCTGTGGAACCAATGCAGAATTTATGAATTGCCTTCTAGGTTTTGCTCACCTTTGCTCTATCATAATACGGTAGAGAAGGAGATTCCTTTATCGTATGAAAACTGTCAGATATTAATCTCTCCAATCAGGATTGATCATTTGCTGGGTGCTTGTAGTATTTTGCTAAATGTTTACTATGCTCTTTATCAGACCAAGTCTAACATCAGTAGATTTTTGTGGCATTGCTGAATACTACCGTACTTGCAGGATTGTCTCCTGCATTAAAGTTGCCTTTTGGTACAAGGATACAGAAGGGGAGGCCCTGATGTAATGAATGAATGAGTGAGTGAGTGAGTGAGTGAATGAATTAATGCCAAATAAACTTTTAATTTGGCCACATAAAAACTATTTCCAGAAAACAACCAAGCTCAGAGAGCACAAGGACTCCTCACTTAGCATTCTTCCTTCTCGTTTTTGTTTGGAGTCGTCAAACAAAAAGATGACATATTATGCATAAAATACAGCCTTGTAAATCACTTTTAAGTGATTTTCTTGTTACAGAATTAAGAAGAACCAGGATTGGGTGTAGCTTTCATAAGTATCTTCAGCAACAGAAGAACAGAAGAACTAAGAGCCTTGGTAGTACAGGGGTTTAAGGCACCCTGTTATTAAGCTTATTAAGACCAGCTGCCTGCAATTACTGCAGGGTTCGAATCTCGCCAAGGCTCAAGGTTGACTCAGCCTTCCATCCTTTCTAAGGTAGGTGAAATGAGGACCCAGTTTGTGGGGGCAATAAGCTGACTTTGTATAAATATACAAAAGGATGAAGGCTATTGCTGAGCACATTGTAAGCCGCCCTGAGTCTTCGGAGAAGGGCGGCATATAAATCAAATTTAAACAAACAAACAAAAAAAAACTTCAGTGAATGGTTTGGAGGATTCCAAACAGCAAAAGTCCCTAGCTATGGTAACATTTCTCTCCTTTTTCCAAAGTAGACCTATAGCCCTTTCTTGAGCTTTACTCTACAAATTCCCCAACGTCTCCTTATATAGGAAAATGAGAATTGCATGCAACAGACTGGATGTGCTTCTGCAGAGTATTTTAAGTGGCCCTAATTACCAGATTTACACCTCCCCCATGTTTCTCCAATGTTCACCCACCGTACCTTAATCCGATGTTGGGCACTTTTGCTCAGGCCGATGGTCATGTTGTAGACTTCCAAGTTCACCTCTTTGGTAAAAGCCACAGCCTTATGGCCTCGGTTGTCGTTCTCCACTGTGACCGAAAATGGGGTGAGGGCTGGATTTTTGGAGCGGACGCCCACCATCTGATACACACAGCTTCCCATAAAATCGTATTTGGTTCCATCGAATGTACGGTAATGTGGATCTCCATATGCAATGCAGGTACTGTAGGTGGTGGCGTGACAACCACGAACGCCATTCACCACAATGCATTTGGTCTTGGCTTTGCAAGAAGACTTCACGCATACAGTTCTGCCTACATTGTTATCACACCTGCAATGGGACTGGCAGTTTTCGTCTGCCCAAAACTCCTCTTCTGCTCTGTAGGTCACACCTTTGTAAGTGCAGTTGCAACTCTCCTTGGGAACACATTTCTCTCCACTGAAGAGGTAGCCCTGGTCACACTGGCAGACTTCTGCACAGGTATTTTTACATTTGGATGGAGCCTCTCGGTCAGAACACGTTGCTGGGCAGGCATTTCCACAGGATAGATAGTGGCTGTTCTCGGGGCAGGTCAACGGGACAGGAACCGGGTCTGGAACAGGAGCTAAGCAAAAAAAAAAAAAGATCAAAAGAGGCAGATGGAATCTCAGCAACATTAGAGATAACAAGGTATCGTATTTTTCGGAATATAAGACGCTCTGGACTCTAAGACACACCTATCTTTTTTGGGGAGGAAAACAAGAAAAAAAATCTGTCTCTGCCTCCCAGCAATTTGCCTCCTTGCAGCAAACAGCCTGTTTCATTTTCATTTTCAGCACAGCCTGATCAGCACAAGAAAAAAAAAATCTGCCTCTGCCTCCCAGCAATTTGCCTCCTTGCAGCAAACAGCCCATTTCAGCTTCAGCTTCAGCACAGCCTGATTAGGACAAGCAACTGATCGTCAGTTGGATCGGCCTACGAAGATCACCTGTTTCTGGCTGCAGGGATTGCCATAGCCTATTGCGGCCTCTGTGTGCCCCATTTTCCAGGGGAGTGGGGGGGGCGAGCTACATTCGGTGTATAAAATGCACCCAAATTTTCACCCTCTTTTAGGGGGCAAAACGTGCATGTTAAACTCCAAAAATACAGTAACTTTCTTTAGGAAGAGAAACACATATGGATAGCATTCATTTGCAATTGACTAGTCAGATTCCACATAAACTGGATCTTGTTCTGGTGCTTCCTGTATGGAATAGCCTCCCTCCAGAGAACTGGGTGGCCCCAACTCGACTGGAGCTTCAGAAGGTGGTGGAGAACTGGCTCTTTCTCCAGTTTTGGAGACCATCATGTTAAAATTATATTGGAGCATTGACACAAATGCACGAATATTTAGGGACTGAGATTCAACCCGGCCCTCCACTTGGTGCTGTTTCCCCGCACCCCTTTTGCCTTCATTCTCAACATCAGCAATTTTAAGATGTGTGGATTTCAATTCCCAGAATTGACTGAGGAATTGTGGGAGTTGAAGTCCGCACCTCTTAACATTGTTGAGATAGAGAAACATTGGTTCAATGACGTAGTGAGGGAGGCTAAAATATACAGGTACCGCCCCTGAACAAGTAACAAAATAAGAAAGTATCTCACATGCCAAGTGGAAAAGACACAAAACTAGAGTTGGGTTTTAGCAGGTTCTGACCAGTTCTGGAAAACCGGTAGTGGAAATGTTGAGTAGTTCGGAGAACCGGTAGTGAAAATTCTGACTGGCCCCACCCCCATCTATTCTCTGCCTCCCAAGTCCCAGATGATCAGGAGGAAATGGGGATTTTGCAGTAACTTTCCCCTGCCACGCCCATCAAGCCATGCCCACCAAGCCATGCCACGCCCACCAAGCCACGCCCACAGAACCGGTAATAACAAATTTTGAAACCCACCACTGCACAAAACCCAAGGCCTGCCGACTAGAGGATCCAACTCCAGCTACCCAACCCATTGCAATCTCACACATTTTCTCCAAACCATTCCCATTTTCTCAGAGTAACCAAGAAATGTTCAGCCTTGAGATGGGGTTAAGGAACCAAGTTATGATCTTGGCAAAGCTTTGGTCTTTGTGCGTAGGCTGAAAAGAAATTTGACGACAACAGTAAAGATTGTGGCCATCTGTTCTTTGCTACGGAATCATTCTGAAAGCACAGCCATGTGTGTGTGTGTGTGTGTGTGTGTGTGTGTGTGTGTGTTTAATAAGTAAATAAGTTTTCACAGTGATGTGGTACAGCTTGAGAAATGGGCTTGCATGTGCTGAAAGCTGTATTTGACTTTCGGGAAATGATTTCAACTTTTGTTGATTTGGTCAATATTTTTTTCCCCCTTGCTGGAAGTTCTGCAAATCCCTGTCACTTTTGCAGCATGACACATAAATATTCAAAAAAAAAAAAAAAAGATCTCACAATGAGAATCGCCTGAGCAATACATGCCGGATGATTATTGTGTCCAGTTTTGCTTCTTGTACTAAACAAAAAGGACTTTAAACTGAAGTTTTTGTGACTTTCTGGACAAATCTGTACAGGTAAGTCCTCGATTTACAACCACAACGGAGCCCAAAATTTATGTTGCTGAGTGAGAAATTTGTTAAGCGAGTGTTGCCCCGTTTTACGACTTTTCTTGCCACATTTGTTAAGTGAATCACTGCAGTTGTTAAATTAGCAATACAGTTGTTAAGTGAATCTGGCTCCCCCACTGACTTTGCTTGCCAGAAGGTCACAAAAGCGGATCACATGACCCCGGGACACTGCAACCGTCATAAATACGAACCAGTTCTCAAGCATCTGAATGTAAATCATTTAACAATGGGGATGGCTGCAATGGTCATAAGTGTAAAAAAGGGTCATAAGTCTATTTTTTCAGTCCCGTTGTAACTTTGAATGGTCACTAAGTGAGCTGTTGTAAGTCAAGGACTACCAGTATAATTTTTGGAGCAATACAAAAAAAATCATTACCTTTTCCCAGGATCTTTTTTAAAAGTTTTTTTAAGTTCTCAATCTAACCTACAATCATGGATTATATGCTGGTGCTCCCCAATTTGGGTACTAACTGATCTGATCAGACATAGCGTCCCCACCCTTCGGAAATGTGGGAGCTTCATCACTTGAGACTTTCAAGAAGAGATTGGACTGCCATTTGTCAGAAATGGTATAGGGTATCCTGCTTGAGCGGGAGATTGGACTACATGACGTATAAGGTCCCTTCCAACTCTGTTAATCTGTTGTAGCACCCAGACTATTTCTTTCAATCTCTTTCGTCAACCTTTAAATAATCGAAATCCAAGACATGCTGCCTGCAACACTATATTTAAAAAATATATATGTTTTCCCCAGCCTTGGCCACTAGAAGATGTGTGAACTTCCGCTCCCAGAATTCCGGGAATTGAAGTCCATACAACTTCAAGTGGCCAAGGTTGGGAAAGACTGTTTTAGATGCAAATTTACTGTCTCCCAAAGACCAAACGTTTGTTGATTTCTCTTTTAATAGTGACTTGTGAGTTCCTTTCATACCTCAGAGTTAACAAATACCAGGGGTGACTGCAGGGTATGGTTTAAAAAATAAGCCAAGATAGCAGTGTAGCTTCCATTAGGCCATTCTGGCCGCCATCTTGATTTGTTTTGATCCCACCCTGAGGTATTTCTGCAAAGTACCATACCTACAGAAAAACAACCCATTTTTCTCTTCAATGGTCTCTCTGGGTTATTGTGTCTCATTTTAATCCAAAGGGAAGACTTCCAAGACTGATTAATTTTAACTCCAATTTCATCTTTCAGACTGATGCACAATATTTTATAGATTTATCATTGCTGTCATTTCATTTTTGTTTGTGAGGTAGGGAGGGAGTTAAACGTTAAAGTGCTTTTAAAGCTCTTCTTTATTTATATCTCTCCCCCCCCCAATTCTTTTTCTGTCACATATGTCTATGTAGTAAATAATCATCTTTTAAAAATAAATAAGATAGAAAAGTCCTCTATGAGATATTTTTCCAGATCAGGAAGTCTAAGGAAGCTGCAAAATGGCTGAAAGGGAAAGAAACCAACCGTAGCATCCAACCTCAGATAACATTAAAGAAAGCTACAACCAAAATAAAATGCAAATGACCAGGGAGAAAATTTAGAGGAAATTAGAGGGCAGATCATTGACACAGCATTAGCAATCATGTGAGAAATTCTTCTAGCTCAAAAGAAATAATTATGAGAGAATCTTAGAATACGAGTCATAGTGCTGATTATTATACAAAGGCCAATTAGTTACCGAGTGTGCCGAAAGGTGATGGAGCAAAGCCGTAGCCTTCGTAATTCTTGTTTCCGTAGGCCAACACACCAAAGGGAGATTGAGGATCCTCAAGAAAAACTGAACGTTGATTAATATCAGCTTTCCAGTTATATTCTGCCCAGGAATGCTCTGAGCCAGGGATCAATTGCCATTGAATGCCTGCCACAACAGATTTATCCCAAGTAACGGTTTCGGAGCTTTTTGCTACGATAAGGATATGGTTGTCAAACTTTTCGAGACCATCAATTCGGTAGGCCAGGCCATAACTGGTGACATCAGGGATGTTGATGAGAAATGGATCGTATCCTATGTTCCCGATCTTGATCCCGGTGAAAAACAAAACCACCTGGATCCCAGCATCGGCAGAGATGTAAAACGCTTGAGAGGACTGGAGCGGAAACTGAATGATTTCTCCAGGCACCATATCTTGAAAGCCTTTATCCTGTCCTGACTGATAAACAACACGTGTGCTTTGACCAGCCACCACATAGATAATATCGACACCAGTCTGCAGAGGTACAGGAGGAACGATGAAGGTTTTGCCCCACTTGGAGACTGGCAGAAGTTGCTCGGCGACGTGGTCGCAGTAATAATTTTCCTGGACGCAGACATGGCCACTCAAGACAGCCACGGGAGCCGAGGACTGAATCTTGGTACCGGACAAGTCTTCCATACTCTGCAACTGAAGAACTTCGAAAGCTTGGAGGCGTACTGTGAGAGTAGTCCCTGCTGCGTACGACCGTCTCTTGAAGATGACTTCACCTTGCGGTTCAATGGTGACTTGGGTAGGAGTCTTCCAAGCTATGACAGCCAATTCTTTCTTGTAACTGTCCACTTTGGTGCCCGGAGGTGTGATGACATAATAGGTATCGCCAAGCTCATGGACTGGGTAGAGTGTCATGCTCGCAATGGAATACAATTTTCGGTTAAATGAGACCACTGAAATGTCATGCTCAGCCTCAATCACAATGGAATAGGCAAAAAGGCCACTGCCTTTCATTTCCAATCTCACGGAGAGATCCACAGGCACTGTTTCATCTCCTGCAACAGAGTAAATTTGGCGGGAGGAAGACCTGGTCATTGTCACGGAGACCGTGGTGTCATTGCCGTGGCCCACGAGAAATAGCTTCAAGCTTGTTTCAGAAGGCCTGTTGGTCTCAAAATTTTCCATGAAAGCCGTGATGAATTGCTTTCCCTGGGAGCTTGAAAATCCTTGGCCTGAGAGAAGGATAGAAAAGCATGGGAAAAAATGAGCTCAGGAAAGAAGAGCAATAAAATACCCCAAGAAAGAAGAAAGTGGGTGGGAAGAGAACACATTTGGGAAAGGGCTATGGCCCAAATGGAAAGGCACCAATAATTTATGTTTCACTTTCCTTATCATTATTGAAGTGTTTACAAGTTTGATTTATTGTATTATTCCTTACATTTTTTACACTTTCACTTCAGGAACTCAAGGCAGTGCATAGTGTTTCCCACAGGAACAATTCTGTAATATTTTGGGGAGGGGAAAGAGAAAGAGAGAGGGGGAGGGAGGGGAGGAGGGAGGGAGGGGGAGAGAGAGGGAGGGGAAGGAGGGAGAGGGAGGGAGGGAGGGACAGGAAGGGTGGGTGGGGGAGAGAGAGAGAGAGAGAGAGAGGGAACAGACATACTAAGATAGATGTCTAAGATCACCCAATGACCACAACTCTGTCAGGGATTTGGTGGTGGGGAAGCGAGAGAAAGATCCAAGATCACACAATGACTTTTTAGGATCTCTCCGGTCCTAGTCTAATATCTTATTGTGGGCTTTCATATATTGGGTCAGTCTAGCCAATTATGGTTCATTTGAAATCTGAATCGCCCCAGTCCTGACCCCTTCAGCACAACTGGCTATCATGGGTCAGGCTGTGAGAGGAAGAGAAAACAGACAAACAAAACAAGCGGATATGGATGGACTGGCCTGGGATTTGGGAATGACCTTCTCCCACTGGGTTGGGGTTTACTCACCATTTTGCAGCATTAAGGATGAAAGGAGTAGCAGCGGTAGCATCCCCATAGCTACGGGACACAAAAGGAATATAAGAAGAAATGTTAAATAGGATGTGAAAAGGAACTAGGGCCATTGACTGGTGTAGAGATTTCTTGATGAAATGCTAAATTTCTATGGATTTATTAGGCAGAAGTCAAGAGGGCAAGCCTTTCCCATTTGTTTGGTTATCTCCCCCTCCCTTTCCCTACCTCCCCCGCCCCAAATAAATACAGTTCAAAATTTAGCACCAGTTCTGGGACCGAAGGCAGCTCTCCATTTCGGTTTCCTCTGTGGGCAGTATTTTGTTTTTTTTTTAATCTCCAGATCTTTCCAAACTGTTAAGGAAGAGATAGGCAATTTCTCCTATACAATTAGAGAAAAAAATTACTCCCCAAGCAAGTAAACAAAGCAAAATTTTTTCCTCGCACAGGATCCAATACCTGACTCAATACTCTGTGGCAGACAGCCTATTTCCTTATGTGATTGAAAATAGCCATTATTTCCGTTTAAGGAAACTTGTTAGCCTATATTTGTCTATAGGTAAATCTAATGAAACCTGTTTGACAAGATGCAAGAGAAGAACACCAGTTTATTTTTCAAAAAGCAATTTAACTCTGGGGGGTGGAGGGTAAAAAACAGAATAGAGAATTAACTACCTGTTGAAAGAAGAGAGCTCGGTCCTCCCATCATACAGATTCAAGCTACGTGTTGCATGATGGAGAATACAAAAGGCACAGGACAAAATGTCTGTCGCAACTCTTACCTTCCACCACTGAGGAGATTTCTCTGGGTTTGAGGAGAGAAGAGGAGCACTGTCTGTGCTCACCCTCTTCCTCCCTGCCGCTGTTTCCTCTTTTATAGGGAAAAGCATTCACAGAAATGGGAGGGAAAACACCCACAAGGTCAAAAACAAGACAACCACTACGGTTGCTGCCAGAGAAATGAAGAAACCCAAAAGGCTGCAGTTACTGGTAGGGGAGGAGGAAAAAACCCCAGAAGGGATCACGTCCAATTTATGACCATCATTAATCAACACAAGATAGATGACCATAGTTTGTACGGTTGATTCAGCCATCCCAACTTGAACAACAACATTATCTAACCCTTCTGTTGAGGAGTGTATGGTGTCCACCCTGAGGCTGAAAGGCCTGCAGATAACACTTCAACAATGTTTGATTTTGGGGAAAGGAGGCATTTTAAAAGTGCTTAAAAAACACTTTGTGGGTTTTGTTGCTAAATAGTGAGCTCTTGCCAAAGCCCTGTGCAGGATTTGTCTTACAATGACATTCCCCAATCTTTCTGGCTCGGCAGATCGTTGGGGGCAGTGGCCGGGGTGAGGGAGAGTTAAGAGAGGATGGTTTTGCATGCTGCACACGGGCCACTTTCACAAACACGGCTTCACGTGCACACCCGCCCACCACTTCCACCGGGTTGCAGATTGGGGGCTGGGGACTCCTGTCTTAGAATGATCAGTGGTAGAAACCAGGGGTGGGTCTGCTGGGGGTTCGCAGAGGTTCAGGAGAACCTCTAGCTAAGATTCTGTGCAGTTTGGAGAACCCCCCAAATCCCACTCCTGGCTGGACCCCACCCGTCCTCTCTCAGGACTCTCCACACAGCCCGTTTTGGATGCAGGTAAGTGCAGGGCGTGCATGGAGGCTCGGGGAAGGCGAAAAATGGGCCTACCGGAAGTTCAAGCCTCCAGAGCCTGGGGAGGCTGTTTACGCCCTCCCAGAGGCTCAAGGAAAGCCTCTGGAGCTTGGGGAGGGCAAAAATGTCCGTTCCCCCCCCCCACTGTGGTGCAGGAGACCGACTAGGCCACACCCACCATGGCCAGGCCCATCCAGCAACCGGGTAGAGAACCCCTTGCTAAAATTTTTGAAGCCCACCCCTGGTAGAAAGAAGCACCGAATAAACTTGGATGGGGTTTGAGGAAAGGATCCAATTAATCATTTCACAATAATTTTTAATGTAGTGAGTCACTGGATCTAATCTTAGGAGACCAAGTATACTTGTGCAATACAGTTTCAAAGCCAATTACATAGACAATTATTTAGCTCCAAGGGTAAAGATGAGAAGTTATCTTTATATTTCTAATAAGTAGACCTCTACACTTTAATTATACACTATAACGAAGTTTGTTCATTTAACTACTTCGTTATGATAAGGAAGTTCCAGGAATCCTACTTGCCCTTGAATCTCCTTGGTAACCTGATGTTGTTTACCACTATTTACAGTAGTCTAATCATCTATGATTGCTTTGAAACGAAAGGGGATTATGAAGGATTTTTTCAGTTATGTTCAAGAGTTTCCTTTCTGGCTGTATTTTACTGGAAGCAGATTTGTCTTAAGGGCTAGAATGAGTTGTATGTTAGCTTTTCCCAAGCATTCGTTGATCACCCATGAGTGTAATGTAAATATCTGCAAATAAATAAATAAATAAGCATTGTATCTTTCTGGCTCTTTCTGCAATTGTAGCACTTGGCTGATAAGAATTCCCAATTGCAGATTGGGTTATAAGGATTTTCAACCCACAGATTGGAGTATGGTAGCTCAAGTGGTTAGGACATTGGACACTCGAGTGGTTAGGACAGTGAAGGTTAGCAAACCCACATTTGAGACTCAAGTGCTGTCGTGAGCTCCCATCCTTTAGTCCAGCTATTCTGGGAGTCATGAAAGGAGTCTCCAACTGGGCATCTTTAGGCAATGGTAATGTCACTGGCTAATCCTTTCAACCCGGAAGCACCTTGGTGCTTGGGACACAAATGCAAAACAAAAAACAAATTAAAAAAGGAACACTAAATAGATAGAATATATAGTAATGGAACAGGAAATAATGCAACTCTCCTTCAATAATTCAAAACCCTGTCTGAAGACTTTAGCGTTGACGTAAAAATAGCTTCTCTAGTCAAGAAGGGTAAAATAAGGAAGAGGTAAAAAGTAAGGAAGATCCAGTGGAATTTTGTCAAAGAACAAATCTAATCAGAGTTCTCCTGTGAGGCACATATAATTAGGCTTAAATTGTATTTGCGATACTTTATGCAAAGACTTTGTCTTTTGGAGAAGTCTAAAGGGGTGGGGAAAGTGGATGAAAGAGAAAAAAAGGACAACCAGTAGCAATAGCAATAGCATTTAGACTTATATATTGCTTTACAGTTCCTTATAGCCCTCTCTAAGTTTACAGAGTCAGCCTATTGCCCCCAACAATTTTGGGTCCTCATTTTACCCACCTCGGAAGCAATGATGAAATCCAAATTTTTTTACTACCAATTCTGTGGCCGTGGCTTGGTGGGCATGGTGTGGCTTGGTGGGCGTGGCTTGGTGGGTGTGGAAAATCTCCATTCCCATCCCACTCTGGGGCCAGCTAGAGGTGGTATTTGCCGATTCTCCGAACTACTCAAAATTTCCGCTACCAGTTCTCCGAACTGCTCAAAATTTCCGCTACCGGTTCTTCAGAACCTGTCAGAACCTGCTGGATTTCACCCCTGCTCAGAAGGATGGAAGGCAGAGTCAACCTTGAACCTGGTGAGATTTGAACTGCCAAATTGCGGGCAGCCGGCAGAAGTAGCCTGCAGTGCTGCACTCTAACCACTGCACCTCCATGGCTCATCCTCACCAGTATCAAGGTGAATGGACTCAGTTATAATGGCAATTTCTGTACCATTGGAACAATCTTCAGATTGCCCTGAAGAAAAAACCTATCTGTGGTTGCTAAGTGTCAACACCAATTTGATGGCTTGCTATCATCACACGGAAGCCATGCTGAAGGCAATGATTCTATTCCTACATGACTTTTAAACCATGACTTTTAAACCCTTTGCTTCACCAGGGTGTTAAAAACCTTTCTCTGTTTACTCCGCGATGTAAGTTCTACTCTGCCTTTTAATTCTTATCAGGATGCTTTTAGGAATGCAGTGCCTTTTAAGATGTTCCGGGAGAGAAATCTACAAGGCTTTGAGTATTAATGCTATTTCTTTTTAATGCTGCAAACATTTATGATTACCAATAGCGTGTGCTCTGATGGAGTTGAGAGCTTGCCTCGTTTATGGCGTATGTAGCTTAGTTTGATGACAAGGGGAGGAGTGAATGTCCTATACCAGACCAAAGCAGAGCTATCTTTATAAGTTGATGAACACTCCTGTCCTGAGCTCAAGGCAGAGCCAGCATGTATGCAGAGTAAGAAAATCACGAAGAGAGGCAAGGGGAGTAAGCTGAAAGTTCTGGTAATTGCAACCAGTAGAATAGAATAGAATAGAATAGAATAGAATAGAATAGAATAGAATAGAATAGAATAGAATAGAATAGAATAGAATAGAATAGAATAGAATAGAGAATTAATAGAGTAGAGTAGAGTAGAGTAGAGTAGAGTAGAGTAGAGTAGAATAGAATAGAATAGAATAGAATAGAATAGAATAGAATAGAATAGAATTAATAGATTAGAGTAGAGTAGAATAGAATAGAATAGAATAGAATAGAATAGAATAGAATAGAATAGAATAGAATAGAATAGAGAATTAATAGAGTAGAGTAGAGTAGAATAGAATAGAATAGAATAGAATAGAATAGAATAGAATAGATAGAATAGAATAGAATAGAAAGAATAGAATAGAGAATTAATAGAGTAGAGTAGAGTAGAGTAGAGTAGAGTAGAGTAGAGTAGAATAGAATAGAATAGAATAGAATAGAATAGAATAGAGAATTAGTAGAGTAGAGTAGAGTAGAGTAGAGTAGAGTAGAATAGAATAGAATAGAATAGAATAGAATAGAATAGAGAATTAATAGAGTAGAGTAGAGTAGAGTAGAATAGAATAGAATAGAATAGAATAGAATAGAGAATTAATAGAGTAGAGTAGAGTAGAGTAGAGTAGAGTAGAGTAGAGTAGATAGAATAGAATAGAATAGAATAGAATAGAATAGAGAATTAATAGAGTAGAGTAGAATAGAATAGAATAGAATAGAATAGAATAGAGAATTAATAGAGTAGAGTAGAGTAGAGTAGAATAGAATAGAATAGAATAGAATAGAATAGAATAGAATAGAATAGAGAATTAATAGAGTAGAGTAGAGTAGAGTAGAGTAGAGTAGAGTAGAGTAGAGTAGAGTAGAATAGAATAGAATAGAATAGAATAGAATAGAATAGAGAATTAATAGAGTAGAGTAGAGTAGAGTAGAGTAGAATAGAATAGAATAGAATAGAGAATTAATAGAGTAGAGTAGAGTAGAGTAGAGTAGAAGTAGAATAGAATAGAATAGAGAATTAATAGAGTAGAGTAGAGTAGAGTAGAGTAGAATAGAATAGAATAGAATAGAATAGAATAGAATAGAATAGAATAGAATAGAATAGAATAGAATAGAATAGAATAGAATAGAATAGAATAGAATTCTTTATTGGCCAAGTGTGATTGGACACACAAGGAATTTGTCTTTGGTGCATAAATAAATAAAGTCCCGATAAATAAAGCAGAGAGCAAGGAGAAACTTACTGATTTTTCAAGAATCTCAGCTGATTCATGGCTACAGGACAAGATTTCTATTTCCGAGAAACAAGCCTTTGTATAAAACTAAGTAAGCAAAGACAGAAATTTGAGCCTAACTTCTCCAAATTGGTGCCTTGCCAAGTACAGTTGTGTGCTCCCAGGATTAGTTTAATTTTAGTTTAGTTTAGTTTAGTTTAGTTTAGTTTAGTTTAGTTTAGTTTAGTTTAGTTTAGTTTAGTTTAGTTTAGTTTAGTTTATTGTCATTGCACATCGTATAATGAAATTAAATGCCCTCTTCAGTGTACATTATAACTATAAAAATAAAAACACAAACACACATCCTTCACATTCTATATACCTGAAATTGAAAACCCGATATTGCATTAATATTGCACTATCTAGGTGAGTGTGAATGTCAGTTTGTGTGTGTGTGTGTGTGTGTGTGTAGCTAGCTTTGCTTGAGAAAAGCAATGAAGCTTTACTGTTGGTCTGATTTCATTCTAATACCAAACACCTGGGAGAGGAACTTTAATCCAGCCTGCAACAAGGTTTGATGCATCTGACATGCAAAAAAAATCAAGACGTGATTTTCAGGAGTGGAAAAAAGGATCTTTAAAAAGGCTCCAAGAAGAAATTTCACTCATCTCTTAGAAAACTTGCTTTTCAGACCCATTGTACTATACCTTTCCCTGATCTGTGTATGCTTGTTTTCATCACCTCAAGCAGAGTCGGGATGCTACTGTTAGATACTATCCAAAATTCAGGTAAATAATGGGTTTCTGGTGCAACCTGCTACATTTTCTCTGCCTGGCTTTTATTCCGACCGGATTTTCAGGGATTATTTCCCATTCAAATGTATGGAGAAAATACGTACAATACATACCTTCCATGGAAATAACAAAGAAAAGCAGACATGGAAGGTGTCTAGCCAATTTACCTCAGAGCAGAGAAGCTCCGGAAATGGGCATATTATTTCTTGAAACTCTGCATCAGCTAAGTTATGCTTACCCCACAGGCTGTCTTCAACCTTCAAAAACGCATTGCCCGTCGTTAAAAAGATAACCCTGAGTGGCTTTTCCGACAGCAGTCAAAAAGTTGGGCTGCCAAAACGTTAACTGGAAAATCAGCCCCTTGTAAACTTTACCCTTAGTCCCACAGCTAAGCCCAGGACATATTTTTGTTTTTGTTTTTTTTTTAAAAAAAAATGAGGTTTCTTGCCATTACAAATGCCTTTGTAGATGGAAGTAGAAGAGATAGATAAAGGAGCTTTTTTAATTTAATTTTAATTTTTTATTTTTGGCCTGGGTTGATGGTGAGGGATTTTGCAAAGTGTGCATGCTGTTAACCAAGTGAGATTTATTTGAATTTCAGTTCCTTTTTTTTTTTGGTCAGATTTCTAGAGGCATTACATCCTGTGGGTTGCTGTCCCTTCAGTGTCTATATCGTAACATCGTTCTGTTAAAAGGATATTGGCTAAAAGGAACGATGTGCAATTTCTTTGAGATAAATGATTTCCCTTTAGGTTCCATGCGGCTGCCCTGTGCCGTTTTAGAGAAGTATGTCATCTGTTCCACAAGATAGTTGCATTATTAGGAAACTCTGCAATCGGTTCTGTGGACGCTTGGAGATTTGTAACCACAGATTCGAATGGCCAGATCAAAATTAATATATGAGAGGCAGATATTTCCCCTCACATCTTCCCCGTTGAAATCCCAGGCTGGATCTTTATATCCATTTCCCTCACCTCATTTTAGCACACAATTTCACCCGGACGCTAATAACAGTCTTCAGCTTCTAGTTATTTTGTGCATCTTGCTGGCTCAGCACATTGGCTCTTTCGCAAGGCAACGTTTGAGAAATTTATCTTACTCTGTCTAGCTCTCTTTCTTTTTTGCTGATGCTCAATTTATTTGGATATCTGCTACACATGAGAATCTGATTTTGATCCAAAAGTATGTTTGACTCTCAAGTCATTTCCAAGTTGTTCATTCAGATTTGTCCCACAGTGGGTGCGCATGGAGCTGGAGCAGGGGCGGGTTCTATTTACCTTTACTACCGGTTCGCATCACACGCGCACTCTTCTCCCCATGCGCAGAAGCTTCTGCGCGTGCCAGATCACCTATGATGACATCCGGGTCAGTGGGCGGAGCCTCCCGCTGGTTTTACTACCAGTTCTTGCAAACCGGTCCAAACCGGGGGTAACCCACTACTGGGCTGAAGAAGGCATTATGAGGAGGGGGTGGGGAATGCTTCCAGAAGTAATTTCATTGCAAACCTATAGAAATAAATCTAGTGGAACCCAAACTTTGATTGCAGGTTCCATTTGCTGGACTAGGAAAGTACTACTACAGAGCTGGGAGAACCATAACTTTCTTTGTCAGAGTTTGCAGCACATCCAACCAACACACAAGTAAATGAACTTCAGCAGGATTCAGCATACAATATCAGGAACACAGAAGCAATATTCATAGCAGCAAATCATTACAGAGTAGAGAGATACAGAGGCTAATATATTGTACAGAGGCAGCCATTACAGAAGCCAAACCAACTCTTATATAAAGTTCAGCAAGTCTAAGCTACGCCCAGACTCCAAACTGTCTCTTACGGCCCCATACAAACAAAGACTATGTTTCGGTTTCCAAACAGTCCCCATTGGCTGACCTGTTGCCATGTCTATTCCAGTCTATGAACATTCATACTCTGACATTCTTTAATATTGCTCAGCCAGAAATCCTGATTTCCCCAAAATGGCCCCTTCTATCTCTCCACCTTTTTTTCCCCACTGTAGGAGGACAACCAGCTGGCCAATGATGAATTCTCTAGTTCTCCAATGAAGAAGTTCTCCAACCTTGAACTTGAAGGTGGCAATAGAGAAGTCTTCTGGATGTTCTTGGATTACAACTCCCATCATCATTTCTCACACCTTTTACTTGGAGGTCTTCTAATCCAACCCCCTGGCTCAGGCAGGAATTCCTATGTCATGTCAGACACATGGTTGTCCAATCTCTTCTTAAAAACCTTCAGTGATGGAGCATCCACAACTTCTGGAGGCAAGATGTTCCACTGCTTAATTGCTCTCAATGTCAGGGGATTTCTGCTTCGTTCTAGGTTGTTCTTCAATGTTGGTGAGCTCATTTTATCTATACATTAATAATTACTAATTATTATTATAGTCATGGGCAAAGGATTCAACTTCATTTCTCAGATTACAGAAAATAACCACCGCCTTGAAGATAAAGCTGGAGACGGGACTTTGGCATCAAATGAGACATTAAAGCAAATATTTCATTACTGATTGATGTCTGTCAACCAGCAGAACACCAAACAATCTCCCTTTTCATTTGTAAAGAAAGCAAGCAAGTTTACTTTTCTTGTAAAACAAACACAGATGATTAATTTTAGGGTTTTAAAAAAAACCAGATAAAAATACTGAGTTGAGAAGGGAACTCGGATGTCTTTACACCACCGCATTTGCAGATCAATAATCATTCCATATGGATTATATTTTGTAGTTGGAAGATCTGAGATCACACGATTACCTAATCGCACTGCTTCATTTATCAACTCTTGTGTAGGCTTGATCTTTCATTGTCACATACTCATACATGCAATGTCTCTGCTCCCCTGTTTTTCCATTTTTCCCTCTTGAAGACAAAAAAAAAGAGAGAGAATTTCAGCTTGTCTTTTCTCCACACTTTCAGAATTGCTTACTCGGAGACCCAGTGTCTAGACTTCAAAAGGATTCCTCACAATCATTCAATGGCACTGCATCTCCACAATTGCCTCATCTGAGATCTTTCCCTCATACAGGCCTGAATGTGGAGACCAGAACCTCTAGCAGGGTCTTTGGAAATGCCACCGATAACTATTCTGCTCAGTGGTTATTTGCACGAGTGGGCTGCTGGGGGTTCACAGCGGTTTGGGAGAACCTCTAGCTAAGATTCTGTGCAGTTCGGAGAACCCCCAAATCCCACTCCTGGCTGGCCCTGCCCACCCTGCCCTGCCAGGAGTCCCCACGCAGCCTGTTTTGGATGCAGGTAAGTGCAAGGTGCACGCGGAGGCTCGGGAAGGGTGAAAAATGGGCCTACTGGAAGTTCGGGAAGCACCTCCGGTGCCTTGGGAGGCTGTTTTCGCCCTCCCGGAGGCTCAAAGAAAGCCTCCATAGCCCAGGGAGAGCAACACACACACCCTGCCATGCCCACCTCTGTTTTAACCTGTAGTCCTAGGACTTTCTGGTGGCCTTCCAATCAAGGATTAAGCCAGGTCTGGTTGGCCTTTTGAAATTGACCACTGAGATGCAGTTTCTTGTGGCATTCAGAGCCCAACAATACCTGGAACAAATTTGTTTTTCAATGTTTAAGAAGTGTGACCATTTCTTCCTTCTGCCGTGACTCAGCCCAGGAAGCTGGACTGCCCATCAATTCTGGTGTTGACCCTTCTCACAAAAGACGGGGAAGTTCATACAATGGATTAAAATGTTCCAAAGCATTTATGTTTGGTTAAGGTCCCTTTTCCTTTGTGAGAAACATTTGTTGCCTTTGTAAACCTAGGTGTGGCAGATGCATATGTGGGTCTTTGTGTGTGGAGATACATATATATATATATATATATATATACACGCACAACGCATGTTGGCTTTTTCTTACCGTACAAGAAAACGAAGGCACCACAGGTCACTGCAACAACCTTGTGGATATTCATTCAATCAAAAAAAGGAACACGATGGAGAGCTTTTATATTTTCCTACTACTAGCAGCGGGTAAGTGAAGTTCTGAAACGTGGGGTTGTTGGGTTTTTTTCCCTACAAATGGTAGATCGAGCCTAATTTCAATTCCCGAAAAGGAAGTTGGATTTCAGATCAATTTCATGTAATAGTAGTCCACCCTGCTATCTTATAGAGGTAAAAAGCATTTAAATATGTTAAAACATATTTTAACAGGTCATCGTCGTACTGTATGATCATCAAAGCTAGATATTTAAAATGAGAGCATCTCCGTTTAAACCCAAGAGCTCCTAAGTGACTTTTAACCCAAAAGAAGAGTTAAAAATTGATAACTGCATAATGTAGTTAATAAAAAATAAGAACATGATTCCACCGTGCCCTTAAAACTTTCTTTTTTCAGCAAGCCGGGCTGGCCTAACACTTTTTTTAAAATGTTTTTAATTGTTTTGTCATTGCTTTTAATTATGGGGCCAAATATATATATATATATACCTTTTTAATTGTATTTTAATGTTTGTAGTTTATGTTTTTACTTTGGCTGTACACCGCCCTGAGTCCTCAGGGAGAAGGGCGGTATATAAATTTGATATAAAATAAAATAAAATAAATAATTGGACTAACCACCTTAATAAGTGAATACAAAACTTTAGGTTGTTTTTAAGTTTTAATACTATGAAGCACAATGGAATGGAAAGAACACATGTGGCTATGTGATCTGATTGTTCATACAACATGCTAACACTCAGCCTAAATTATAAAATACTATAGTCATCTTAATGTGCAATGCTTCAAATGACATCCTAACAGAATGTACTGGTCCCTCCAGTCTATAAAGATAAAAGCTGAATTTTTATAACTATCTGGATCACCAATTGCTGAGTTCAGTTTTAGTGTAGCCTAACATTCCTATGGATCTAATAAATAAGTAGATTATTCTTATTCCAAAGGACAGGCAACTTAATCCTCTGAAATATCCTTCTCCATTCTGGCATTTTCTAGATAGCTTGGAGAATTTGCCATCCATTTCTTGGCCATGCTGGCTAGTCATTTGGGGAATGGTAACATGTCTGGAGGGCACTTGGATAAGGAAACCTGAAGGCATCCATCAGATTTAGTTGATTTAGATTTAGATTTACAGAGTTGGAAGGGACCTTGTAGGTAATCTAGTCCATCTAGTGCAGGGAACCCCACACAATTTCTGACAAATGGCAGCCCAGTCTCTTCTTGAAAGCTTCCAGTGATGAAGCTCCCATCACTTCTGTAGGCAAACTGTTCCATTGGTTGAATGTTCCCACTGTCAGAAAATTTCTCCTTATTTCCAGGTTGAATCACTCCTTGTTCAGTTTCCATCTGAAGGATGCTACTTTGGGTTTGGTGACTGCAAGGAGGTTTTAGCAGAGATCAGGACATAGCTACGTAGAATGGGTGGACTTGATGGTACTCCTTTCTGACTATGGGAGCATTACAGAAAGTACTACCGTCAGCACAAGTCCTATTCTTTTTAAGAAGATTATGTCCAAGAGGAACTCACATGTCAAACATGTACAAGCTCATCTGAAAATTATTCCACTTTCTGTATTCTGAGTTCCTCGTTTGACATTGCACAACAGATCTTTAGACCTCCGGAAAAATGTATCTGTGTTTCTATCTTCTACTTTTGAATCAAAGTGGTTTTCAGTCATGTTCATTCTTATTTTAATTAAAATTACTGAATAAGGAATGTTTGCATGTATCTGGGTTTACATACATGAATAAAAACACTCCAGATCTGATTGCATTTTTTTTCTACTTTTTTTTCAGGATTGGCGTTGCCTTGTCTGACTGCAAGCCCAAATAGTAAGTTTTAGTTGAATCCATCAATCTGACTAGGGAATTTTCCAGGGCCAAAAACAATGCTATGCTGAAACAAGTAGAATGGTGGAAGTTGATCCCAGGACAAGGATCAGAGTTAGCTTCATCCAAAAATAATCTCTCACATTCCAGATCAACCTTGCCCTCATCATGTTCTCCAGGTGTATGAACTACACCTCCCAAAAGTCTCACGGCAGCCATGCTGTTGGGAGAATTCTAGGAGTTGGAAGTTTACACATCGAGAGGACATTCAAGTTAGAGAAGGTAGCCTTACACCTTCATATATGCCCAGATGTTTCTTCCGAGACCTGCTATACTGGACGGCAAGGTCTCAAAAGAATTCTTCTCATACCCATCTGAGTGCAAGTACGAACTTCTTTATGATCATAGTCTGTTTTATTGTGATGGGATCAACTGGCAAATTTCCAAACTCCCATTGATGCCATCAATACCTTTGTAAGCAGAACTCAGATGAGATTGCAGTTGAATATTGGTAATCAATCTTTAAAATCCAAAAAAAAAAAAAGTTTGAAAATCATAGAATATTCAGTGCAAAATGTTAGAGACCTACTGCTGTTATATTTTTAACAAATTTCTACTGGCCCCTATTGGTCACTCCCCAAATTAAACCATCAATTGACCAGAGATCCTGCCAAGAGCAATCATGAACTAGCCATTCATGAATAGAGATCAGGGTTACATTCAGAGGTGGGCTTCAAAAATTTTAGCAAGGGGTTTTCTGCCCGGTTGCTGGGTGGGTGTGGCCATGGTGGGCATGGCCTAGTTGGCCTCCTGCACCACGATGGGGAGATGTGTTTTTGCACTCCCTGGGCTCCGGAGGCTTTCATCAAGCCTCCGGGAGGGCAAAAACAGCCTCCCCAGGCTCCAGAGGCCCTCTGGAGGCAGGAAATGGGCCCATTTCCGGCCTTCCCGAACTTCCAGTAGGCCCGTTTTTCACCCTCCCCGAGCCTCCGCGCATGCCTTGCACTTACCTGTATCCAAAACGGGCCATGTGGGGACTCCTGGGAGGGGAGGGGCAGGGTGGGTGGGGCCAGCCAGGAGTGGGATTTGGGGGTTCTCCAAACTGCACAGAATCTTAGCCAGAGGTTCTCCTGAACCCCTGCAAGCCCCCAGCATCCCACCCCTGGTTAGATACTATCCAGTAGGCCATCAACGGAACAATCAGCTAACGGTTGAAAATCCCAAAACCAAAGATGGTTTTTTTGAAGACCAGTATCCAACCCAGGTGGAGGCAGGAACGGAATTTAGAATGAGCAACATCTGTAGAAATCGATGTTCCAGATAGCAGTTTGGAGAGGGAGGAGAAATGCCAAGGTCTGAACATACCTGCTTTTGTAAACCAGTGATGTTCTCTCTTATTCTAGCATCATTGCTCTATCCTTATGGGAAAACCCAAGGAGACTCAGAAAACCCAGTAGCTGATGATGGGAATTCTCCAGAGATCTCCATCAAAAAGCCATTCTCCTTCTACGGCAAGAAATACAGCTCCCTTTTTGTATGTAACACCTGCCAGATATAAACCTCGTATTTTCTTTATAGAAACTAAGAAACGGGTTGCTCAACTCAGCTTGTCCACCCACCCCCTGACTCTAAATATGCCTTAATGCCAGTGGTTCAGACCGGTTTGCAAGAACCGGTAGTAAAACCAGAGGGAGGCTCTGCCCGTTGCCCCAGATGTCATCATAGGCAATCTGCACATGCGCAGAAGCTTCTGTGCATGTGCAGAAGCTTGGTGCGCGTGCGATCCCATTGCAAATCGGTAGTAAAGGTAAATAGAACCTACCCCTGCTTAATGCAAAATTTCTTTATACCTCTCTGGAGAGGCAAGTTGTAACATTTGCTGAGGTAGCTGGGGATGACCAAACTCCCCATGGCTTTCATTTCCAAAATAGCTTCCTGGATAGGTAAGAGTCACAACTAATACTTGCCCACTAATATGCCTTTATGAGAATGAATGGGTGGGATATGAGCAATCTACAGTCACCTAAATACATTCAAAAACCCAATCATGAGCACAGTAGAAATCAGTGCGATAAGTGTATGGGGCTCCCAGTGTTGACCTCCAGGTCCCAATAGGTCCAACTGAAGATGACGATGTTGGGAAATAAAATTTGACAGCATCTTGAGATCCACAGGTTCCCCTTCTCTAATATTAACTTACACTAGTTTCATGATTTCTGTTAAGGAACAATGGGAACTATTGCAACCTGTTGTTCCCATTTGCTAACCATCTAGTTAACTTTGGTTAGTGTATGTGGAGAGAGAGAGAGTTGTGTGGATAGATAGATAGATAGATAGATAGATAGATAGATAGATAGATGGATGGATGGATGGATGGATGGATGGATGGATGGATGGATGGATTGATATCAATATAGTTTTCTCAAAGGGGAAAGCAACTATAGAAAAGAACAAAACAAATGTAGGTACTGTAATGATAAAAGGAGGTCTACCCTATCTGATAACTAAAGAAAGATGTTTACATAACATTGATTCAAATATGGAAGATTGTATTGAAGCAGATGATGAAAATGTCAGTAACAGTGACAATGATGAGTGTAGAATAACTCATGATCACAAAAATACATACAAGGAAAAGAAACCAAAAATAGGTAAACCAATTCATGATGAGTGTGCTCACATCTTACACAGGAAGTTAGGACATGCAAGCTTTCCTGTAGTACAAAAAATGACTGAACACGCAGAAGGTGTCAAAATAAAAAATTGTGAAAATTATTTGGAATGCTCAGTATGTAAGTCCACCAAACTAAAAACCAGTCCAAGACCAAAAAAATCTAACAGATCAACTAACAATATTTTTGATTTAGTACATATGGACTTAGTTGGTCCATTAAGTCCCTCAATTACCTATAGAAAACGTTACTTCCTAACAATAGTGGATGACTACAGCCGATATGGTTTTGTTTACACATTAAAGCACAAGGATGAAACATTTCAGAAATTTAAGGAATTCTACAAACGTATAGAAACACAACATAATATCAGAATAAAGCAAATTATGACAGATAGGGGATGTGAGTTCATGTCTAAAGAATTCTCCCAATGGTTAAAGGATAGAGGAATGTTACATTTCACGTCCAATCCTTTTTCTGCATTTCAAAATGGAGTTGCAGAGAGGAAAAATTCCACACTACAAACCATGATTAGGTGCACATTAGAGGATGCTGGTTTAGGCAAACAATTTTGGTCAGAGGCATTACATTATTCGAATTACACTCAAAATAGAACCTGGTCCAGTATTGTGAATAAGACACCATATGAGGTGATGTACAATAGAAAACCCAAATTATCACACATGCACATATTTGGAGTCACTGCAGACGTACACATACCTAAACAATTGAGGAGAAAGGGAGAAAACGTATCCAGGAGATTAAGATTCATGGGATACGAAACTGGAACCAAAGGGTACAGATTTATTGATAGTAATAACAAATTTATAGTATCCAGAACAGCTGTGTTCCATGAACAGGCCAATTGGTCAAAATTGCACCTTAATGAAATATTTCCTAATAAATGTAAAGATACGATATCTTGCGAGGAAGGAACAACAGAAAATCAAAATATTAACAAAAGTAAGAACAAAACCAAAACTTGGACTAATAGTCAGCATAAAATAAAGACAGACACATTAACAAAAAAGGAAGCTAGATATTTGCATGATAACCATAGCAAGCCTGAAAGAACTATTAGAAACAATAGAAACCAAATACCAAATAAATACAAAGATTACATAATGCATATGAATGGAGAACAAATAACACCTAATACATATGAAGAAGTATTGAAACTTCCACATGAAGAAAGAGAAAAATGGGAACTAGCTATGGAAAAAGAGATGGAAAGTTTACAAGGATTAAATGTATTCACACCTGCGATCGCACCTAAGGATAAAACAATTATAGGTACCAGGTGGATTTATAAAATTAAGAACTTAGAAGGAGGCAATACCTTATACAAGGCTAGACTAGTTGCACAAGGCTATGCACAAAAATATCCAGAAGACTATACTGATACATATTCACCCACAGTGAGAACAGAGAGTGTCAAAACAGCCCTTGTAGTAGCATCTGCACTCAATCTGGACGTATTCCAATATGACATACAGACCGCATACTTACATGCAAAATTAGATAAGGAAATATATGTAAGAGCACCACACAGTCAATACACTAATAAGAACGAAATTTGGTTATTAAATAAGAGTCTGTACGGATTAAAGCAATCCGGCAAAAGATGGTACGATTGCTTGGTAAAAGTACTTAAGACCATGGATTTCAACGCCACCACTGCTGATAACTGTTTCTTTGTAAAAAAGAGTAATGATCATATTGAATTTGTATTAATTTACGTGGACGATATTTTATACATTGGAAAGCATAAAGAGAGCAGGGAAATCTTTGTAAATAAGTTAAATGAACACTTCTCACTGAAATCTCTGGGTAAAGTGAATAAATACCTTGGTGTGCAAATTAACAAAACTAAAAGGGGATTCAAACTTACACAGAAAGATAAAATCATCGAACTCCTAAACAAATGTAACTTAAATAATGCTAAAACCTGTGACACCCCTATGCAAACTGATTTTCTTAGAAACACTGATGAATCTTCCCCTGAGTTTAAAGACAACACATTTTACAGATCAGTTATAGGTTCACTCCTTTATATATCTAATTGGACTAGGCCAGATATTGCATTACCTCTCAATCTATTGTCAAGATATGTTAGTAAACCAACCTTGTATCATTGGGAAGCTGTCAAAAGAATTCTAAGATATCTGAAGGGTACATTAGATTTTTGTTTAATGTTGGAACCCAATAATGACAGAGAACCAAAAATTACTTGTTATGCCGATGCAGATTGGGCTGGTGATACATCATGCAGAAAGAGTACTTCTGGTTATGTTTTTCTATTGAATGATTGTCCAGTTTACTGGTATACTGGTAAACAAGAACTAGTAGCCACTTCTACTACAGAAGCGGAATATGTTTGTTTGTCCAAGGCTGCAAATAACCTTGTATGGTTCAATGATCTGATCACTGATGTTTGGAGGAAACCCACCTTACCATTTATTATGCATGAAGACAATAAAGCGGCCATTGAAATATCCAGATCCGATGCAATTGGACAAAGGTCCAGGCATATTGATATAAAGTTTAAGCATGTGAGACAACTGTCTCAAGACGGATTCATTAAAGCAATACATTGCGATACTTCTGAACAATTAGCTGACATATTAACAAAACCCTTACCTTCTAAACAACACAAATATTTAACTTCTAAATTATATGTATTATATTGTCCTGAATCAGAATGTAATTGGTGTTGTGTAACGAACCGGCATTTAGAGGGGGATTTGTCAGATGTAAATGCCTTATTCTCCAATGTGTAAATAATGTATATATGGAACATCAGAGGTTAACTTATTCTTTGGACTTTAATGTATTCATAACTTACCACTCCCATTCCTAGCTCCACCCCTTGTATATATAAGGAGCCACCCTCACCATTCTCGTTGCTTCTACCTTGAATATTCAGTGAATATAGAATGCCTATCATAATTAAAAAGAAATATATTTAAAGCTCTAACTCCTATTATCTTTATTGAGTCTGATCCTGAAAATATTGCAACACTGGGGTTTACATACATGAATAAAAACACTCCAGATCTGATTGCATTTTTTTCTACTTTTTTTCAGGATTGGCGTTGCCTTGTCTGACTGCAAGCCCAAATAGTAAGTTTTAGTTGAATCCATCAATCTGACTAGGGAATTTTCCAGGGCCAAAAACAATGCTATGCTGAAACAAGTAGAATGGTGGAAGTTGATCCCAGGACAAGGATCAGAGTTAGCTTCATCCAAAAATAATCTCTCACATTCCAGATCAACCTTGCCCTCATCATGTTCTCCAGGTGTATGAACTACACCTCCCAAAAGTCTCACGGCAGCCATGCTGTTGGGAGAATTCTAGGAGTTGGAAGTTTACACATCGAGAGGACATTCAAGTTAGAGAAGGTAGCCTTACACCTTCATATATGCCCAGATGTTTCTTCCGAGACCTGCTATACTGGACGGCAAGGTCTCAAAAGAATTCTTCTCATACCCATCTGAGTGCAAGTACGAACTTCTTTATGATCATAGTCTGTTTTATTGTGATGGGATCAACTGGCAAATTTCCAAACTCCCATTGATGCCATCAATACCTTTGTAAGCAGAACTCAGATGAGATTGCAGTTGAATATTGGTAATCAATCTTTAAAATCCAAAAAAAAAAAAAGTTTGAAAATCATAGAATATTCAGTGCAAAATGTTAGAGACCTACTGCTGTTATATTTTTAACAAATTTCTACTGGCCCCTATTGGTCACTCCCCAAATTAAACCATCAATTGACCAGAGATCCTGCCAAGAGCAATCATGAACTAGCCATTCATGAATAGAGATCAGGGTTACATTCAGAGGTGGGCTTCAAAAATTTTAGCAAGGGATTTTCTGCCCGGTTGCTGGGTGGGTGTGGCCATGGTGGGCATGGCCTAGTTGGCCTCCTGCACCACGATGGGGAGATGTGTTTTTGCACTCCCTGGGCTCCGGAGGCTTTCATCAAGCCTCCGGGAGGGCAAAAACAGCCTCCCCAGGCTCCAGAGGCCCTCTGGAGGCAGGAAATGGGCCCATTTCGGCCTTCCCGAACTTCCAGTAGGCCCGTTTTTCACCCTCCCGAGCCTCCGCGCATGCCTTGCACTTACCTGTATCCAAAACGGGCCATGTGGGGACTCCTGGGAGGGGAGGGGCAGGGTGGGTGGGGCCAGCCAGGAGTGGGATTTGGGGGTTCTCCAAACTGCACAGAATCTTAGCCAGAGGTTCTCCTGAACCCCTGCAAGCCCCCAGCATCCCACCCCTGATTAGATACTACCCAGTAGGCCATCAACGGAACAATCAGCTAATGGTTGAAAATCCCAAAACCAAAGATGGTTTTTTTGAAGACCAGTATCCAACCCAGGTGGAGGCAGGAACGGAATTTAGAATGAGCAACATCTGTAGAAATCGATGTTCCAGATAGCAGTTTGGAGAGGGAGGAGAAATGCCAAGGTCTGAACATACCTGCTTTTGTAAACCAGTGATGTTCTCTCTTATTCTAGCATCATTGCTCTATCCTTATGGGAAAACCCAAGGAGACTCAGAAAACCCAGTAGCTGATGATGGGAATTCTCCAGAGATCTCCATCAAAAAGCCATTCTCCTTCTACGGCAAGAAATACAGCTCCCTTTTTGTATGTAACACCTGCCAGATATAAACCTCGTATTTTCTTTATAGAAACTAAGAAACGGGTTGCTCAACTCAGCTTGTCCACCCACCCCTGACTCTAAATATGCCTTAATGCCAGTGGTTCAGACCGGTTTGCAAGAACCGGTAGTAAAACCAGAGGGAGGCTCTGCCCGTTGCCCCAGATGTCATCATAGGCAATCTGCACATGCGCAGAAGCTTCTGTGCATGTGCAGAAGCTTGGTGCGCGTGCGATCCCATTGCAAATCGGTAGTAAAGGTAAATAGAACCTACCCTGCTTAATGCAAAATTTCTTTATACCTCTCTGGAGAGGCAAGTTGTAACATTTGCTGAGGTAGCTGGGGATGACCAAACTCCCCATGGCTTTCATTTCCAAAATAGCTTCCTGGATAGGTAAGAGTCACAACTAATACTTGCCCACTAATATGCCTTTATGAGAATGAATGGGTGGGATATGAGCAATCTACAGTCACCTAAATACATTCAAAAACCCAATCATGAGCACAGTAGAAATCAGTGCGATAAGTGTATGGGGCTCCCAGTGTTGACCTCCAGGTCCCAATAGGTCCAACTGAAGATGACGATGTTGGGAAATAAAATTTGACAGCATCTTGAGATCCACAGGTTCCCCTTCTCTGATATTAACTTACACTAGTTTCATGATTTCTGTTAAGGAACAATGGGAACTATTGCAACCTGTTGTTCCCATTTGCTAACCATCTAGTTAACTTTGGTTAGTGTATGTGGAGAGAGAGAGAGTTGTGTGGATAGATAGATAGATAGATAGATAGATAGATAGATAGATAGATAGATAGATAGATAGATGGATGGATGGATGGATGGATGGATGGATGGATGGATGGATGGATGGATGGATGGATGGATGGATGGATGGATGGATGGATAGATAGATAGATAGATAGATAGATAGATAGATGATAGATTTTGTGTGTGTGTGTAAGAGAAAGAGAGACAGCATCCTATGTTAACTCAGTTTACTTAGTTTATATCTTAATGTCTTTTAAGATTCTAGAAAATTACCTAATTTCATAATAATATTGAGTGTGTCAAATGAACACAGCCTACCACTTTGCTTTATATTTCTCCAGGTCAACAACAATGGGGGTGTCTCTTTTGGAAAGTATGTCTCAGAGTACACTCCTAATGCTTTCCCTCTGAAAAATGGAATAGCCTTTGTTGCTCCATTTTGGTCTGATGTTGACAATAGAGTCAGTGGGAGCATCTTCTGGAGACAGACCGAAGACCCAGTGCTGCTTAGCCGCTTTGCTGCAGACCTCAGTCGGTACCACCCTGATATTTCTTTCACACCCATGTGGATGTTTGTTGCCACCTGGGACAAAGTAGGCTACTACGGATCTGCTTCAGACAAGGTAGGTCTCACACAACAATGGCAATCTAGAGCTTTCCTCCTCCTCCAGTGGCTGCTGCTTATTTATTGAGAGTAAATGTAGTGTAGAGGTAAAAGTGCTGAACTACAGCCTCCCTCCCTCCCCATCACAAAAACTCACTGGATGACTTTGGGTCAGTCTTTCCCTCTCAGTCCAAGAGCCATGGAGGTAGAGGTGAAAATGTTGGACAAGGAGCACCAAGACCCAGATTTAAGTCCATCTTAAGTCCATAGAGGCTCCCTGGATGACTTTAAGATTGTCTTTCTATTCTCAATACTGTCAGACCTGCCCCTGTCTTATCCCTTAGGAAAGAAAGACCCTCAACTCCATTTGGTAGCAGTGATGGGTTCTTTTATTAAAAGATGCTGACTGCAGTAAAGTCAGGCTAGAATTAAAGTTCCCACGCTAAAAGGATCCAAAATGTTTCCCTTCATCTTTGGGGAAGACCCATATTTTTATCAGGAAAGGAAAGGAAACACTGAACTGATCATCAGCAACCCCCAAACCTTTCCAGCTTGGTGGCCCACTGGGGGTGGGGAAGGAATGGTTCTGTGTGACTGGTAGGCACATGCACAAGCACACACAGCTCCATTTGCGTAAACAGTAGTGGGCCACAGGCCAGGGGTTGAGGGTCTCCTAAATAATTCTCAACGTGCAATGTTCAATGTTGCCGCTAGATGGCACCTCTATCATCCTGCAAAAAAAGGGATAGCCAAGTTTGTCGATCTAGAAAGACTAGTAGAGTCTTTCTAGATCTGTAAGTCAAGTAGACTTGACTTACAACCACAATTGAAAGCAGACTTTCTATTGTAAATTGATCCAGTTGTCATCACTTAATCAGATCCAACTTACTACCCTTTTTTATCACAGTCATTAAGTGAATTACATGGTTGTTAAGTGAACCCAGCTTCCCAGATTGACCTTGTTGGAAGCCAGCTGGGAAAATGGCAAATTGTGATCGCATGACCATAAGATTGCTGCAACCACCTTAAATTGCTGAGCACATTGTAAGCCGCCCTGAGTCTTCGGAGAAGGGCGGCATATAAATCAAAATTAAAAATTAAATTAATTAAATTAAATGCAAGCCAGTTGCCAAGTGCCCAAATTGTGATTGCATGACCGCTGGAGCTGTACGATTGTCATAAATTCAAGGACAGGTTGTGAATCACTTTCTCTGAGGCCACCATAATGTCAAACAAGCAGGGGTTAAGTCAAGGATTATCTGTAGAATTAACTCTGCTCAGTACATGGATGTGTCCTGGACGTTGGACAGTGTACCAAACGAAAGGAGTGATATTTTTAATGGGATCAAGAGAACTGCAAGGATACATGTTCAAAGTAAATGAAACTAATCAAGTTTCATTGAGAAACTAATGTGGAAACTAATCAAGGAGAGAAGCAACTTAGAACTAAGGAGAAATTTCCTGACAGTGAGAACAATTAATCAGTGGAACAACTTGCCTCCAGAAGTTGTGAATGCTCCGACACTGGAAGTTTTTAAGAAGATGTTGGATAACCATTTGTCTGAAGTGGTGTAGGGTTTCCTGCCTAAGCAGGGGGTTGGACTAGAAGACCTCCAAGGTCCCTTCCAACTCTGTTATTCTATTCCATTCTAAACCACTAGGACTTGAATTCAACTTTCCTTTAGAAACAACTTTGCTAAGCAACAATAAAGGTAAAGGTAAAGGTTCCCCTCGCACATATGTGCTAGTCATTCCCGACTCTAGGGGGCGGTGCTCATCTCTGTTTCAAAGCCGAAGAGCCAGAGCTGTCCGAAGACGTCTCTGTGGTCATGTGGCCGGCATGACTAAATGCCAAAGGCACATGGAACGCTGTTACCTTCCCACCAAAGGTGGTCCCTATTTTTCTACTTACATTTTTTATGTGCTTTCGAACTGCTAGGTTGGCAGAAGCTGGGACAAGTAATGGGAGCTCACCCCGTTACGCGGCACTAGGGATTCAAACCACTGAATTGCCGACCTTTCGATCGACAAGCTCAGCGTCTTAGCCACTGCACCACCACGTCCCTTTTGCAACAATAGCCATGCCTTAAAATACAATTTTTCCCCCTTTTGTTGCAGGTCAACACTTTTCAAGTTGTCTTGGCTACGGATGGAAAAATATCCTTCATCCTGCTGAATTATGCTCTTATACAGTGGACCACTGGAACTGGAAACGATGGAGATATCTATACAGGACTTGGAGGAATCCCCGCTCAGGTAGTTTTGGGATAGCTTGAAGGTGCAACAAGAAATGCAGGGTTATATTTGCCCAGTCAATGCAACCTCATTTAATCAAAGCGGACAGATACAAAAAGTGGCCCTTAGTTATCCTTCTCAACTCATACTTTTATGCTGCTGGTTTTTCCCCTTTCTTGTGAGCTTCAGAATACTTCAAAAAAAAAAATCTAAATATTTACAGGAAGGATATCTACAGCAATGGGGGCAGGTTTTACAGGACCAGACATTAAGAGAGCTTTCCACCTATCACGGAACTGTTTTTTTCTGGATGTGTATTGTCAAAGTTTGCAAATGAAGATTTGCTATTACTTTCAGAAAACATGTGTGTATGTCTGCAACGGTTTGATCCTTTCTCCAAGGAAGCCTAGCCTAGCCTCCATTTCTTCTGCCATACATACAATCTGAACAGGTAGTTGTAAGGCTGTAATTCATGCTAAAGGTTACCCAACTAAGTATTAACTGACAGGGTGATCATTTTTGTCTAACTCGTTTTTTCTATGGGGATAATTTTTGTCTATCTCATTTTTTCTACATGTTTCACTTTTCTTCTTTATTCTGTAACTGCTATTCTAATGGAAAATCCTTCATATAAGTTATTGCATTACATTCTTGATTATCTTTCCATTGATATATAATTTTATGGCACTACTAAAAAACAAAGTGGTGGTATTACATGGGGCTCCCCTTGAGGAGCACCCGGAGGCTCCAACTGGCGCAGAGTGCGGCCGCGCGGGTGGTAATGGGAGCGACATGGCGTTCCCATGTAACACCTCTTCTGTGCGAGCTGCACTGGCTCCCGGTGGTCTTCCGGGTGCGCTTCAAGGTTTTAGTTACCACCTTTAGAGAGTTCCATGGCTTAGGATCTGATTATCTACGGGACCGTCTACTACCACCAATAGCCTCCCACCGGCCGGTACGCTCTCATAGAGAGGGGCTCCTCCGGGTGCTGTCAGCCAAACAATGTCGACTGGCGGCCCCTAGGGGAAGGGCCTTCTCTGTGGGGGCACCTACTATCTGGAACGAGCTCCCCCTGGAGATACGGAGGAGCCCGGATCTGCGCACCTTCCACCGCGCTCTTAAGACCTTTTTATTCCACCAGGCGGGCCTGGCCTAATCTTTTCCCTCTTTTTAATTATGCAAATTTTAATCGGTTTTTAAATGATTGGGGTGTTTTAATCTGTCTGGCCCAAATTGTTTAATTCGATTTTACTTTGTTTTTAAATTTTGTATCTATGTATTTTTGCTGTTTGGCTGTTCACCGCTCTGAGTCCTTCGGGAGTAGGGCGGTATATAAATCAAATAAAGTAAGTAAGTAAGTAAGTATTAGCTAGTTTTAGAAAATACACTTTTCCCAAAAGGTTTCCACAATTTTGGCCACTACTGTATGATTGATACCCAGACTTGCAATCCAATGAGAAAGTTTGTTGGGGTGTTAATTAGGAAAGGATGTCATTCTTTCTCTATCTCTTCACCAGGCTGGCTTTGACAGCGGGGACCAAGAAAATTACTACAACATCCCTGGTTCCCGAACTCCTGAAATTCTCAATATTATGAAGACCAGCAATGTCGATGAACCAGGTTGCTGGCTGTTTCAAGTGGATAAGTCAATTATTGGAGTTCCCACGGCAAAAAGTGATTGCTTGAATAAGTAAGTGTCAGACCTTCTCTTTTATTGGCTAGTAGGATAGATATGTAAAAAATTGGAATGACCTAGAGGTGGAGCTCTCACCTCACAATCAGGAGGCTGTGAATTCAATCCTAGGTTGAGGCGGATATTTCTCTCTCTGGGCATGCTGAGAATATATCTGCTGAACAAAACTCCGCATTGGCAACAGGAAGGGTATCAGGCCATTTAAACACTCTGCTAGATCCATTCAGTTGCCCAAACTCCACCCCGCAAGGGATTATGGGGTCGTTAAAAGAAGATGGTGATAAGGATAGATTATAGGAGAGAAATTACAAACTACTTATAAGTCCGATAAATAAATAAATAAATAAATAAATAAATAAATAAATATGTCAGCTGCTTATAAAGAAAATCTTTACATAATGTTCTACTGATGGCATTTACCACCAGAGAGATTAGCCAGGATGTTCTTGAATAGGTCTCCAAATTATTGGGGGGGTGGGCACAAACAAGGGACATTCTACCACATGTGGTGGACCTGTCCTAAAATTAGGAAATTTTGGGGCAAGATTAAAAAATGAAATAATAGGGCAGAAGATAGAAAGAAAGCCCGAACTGTTTCTCCTGGTTATTCTGGAAAAGAAAATGCAGAAAAGTATACAATATATCATATTACACATACTAACGGCAAGTACAATTGTGATAGCACAAAATTGGAAACAACCGGACACTCTTTCAGATCAAATCATAATAAAAAAAATATACGAATGTGCAGGGATGGACAGATTATATATGGAAATGAAGGAGAGGGAGGACACCAAGTACTATTTAATATGGAATAAATGGTATTCCTGGCTGGAGAGTAAACATAAAATTTAAGGGATGTTGTTGTTATGAGATTGAATTGTAAATAGAAATCAAGATAATTTAAATAAAGATGTAAATTTAAGATACAGATAATTAGAAGTAGAATTTGTGTAAAGTGGTTAAATAGGTTAGAGATACCGATGCAGAAAAGTTGTTATTAGTATTGAAATTTTGATATGTTTGTTTTTGGTTATTTATATTTTTTGGGTTTTTCGTGTGTGTTTTTTCCTTGCTTTTTTTTTTTTGTGTATTATGTTTCTTTTTGTACTGTGTATTTTAATCTTTGGAAATTTAATAAATATTATTTTTTAAAAAAAGAAGATGATGATGATAAATATGTAAGTAATTACTAGATCCATGGCCCAGGGGTGAAATGCTACCAGTTCATTCCAGTTTGGGCGAATCGGTAGTGATAAAAACTACCGGTTCGGGTGAATTAGTAGTAAAAAAAAAGCTATGGGTTCGGTTGAACTGGTAGTTTAAAAAAGCTACCAGTTTATCCAAACCGGTATTTCCGACAATCAGCTGTGCCGTGTGGTTTAGCTTCACTAGAAAGCAGGAAATCCTGCTTTCTAGCGAAGCTAAACCACGCGGCACAGCTGTTTCCCCCCCTCGCTGTTCTACTTACTTAGTGAAATCTTCTTTTTCCTTATGAAGTGCACGTTTGCTGCGCACTGCACATGCACACACAGTGTGATTTTGGTGCACACCGTGCATGCACGGGCAGCAAACCAGTGGCAATCCAAGAAGGATTTCACCACTGCCATGGCCCCTTACTTATTTTGCTGTTATCTCTTTCCATCAGGTGAAGCCCACTTCCAACGCAGACAATCTGCTTCTCCATGCCAGCCTGGGACAAGTTGAACAGCATCTGCCATCTTTCTCAAATCCCTCTGCTACCCTCTTCGAACAAGAAAAAGTTTTCGGGAGCTGCCATTGACTGTAGATTTAGCAATAAATGATTGCACTCACATAGGTGGTGTGTCCATTGTGGAGTGCAAGAAAGAAATGCACGATTGTTATATGTGTGAATACGACAGCCTGTGCATATATAAAGGTTGTGTGTGTGTATGTGTGTGTGTGTGTTGCGCGCTTGTGTGATGCTTTTAAGGGGAGTGACAAGCCTAACCTTCTTTGAAGTTGGTTTCCTTCATGGGAGATGGGTGCAGATGTAAAATCCCAAGGGATGGAACATGTGATGTGGACATCCATACTGATATCTCCATACACACATTGACTATTCAATTCTTTATGCCAGAGGTGTCCAATCCTGGCAATTTTAAGATTTGTGGACTTCAACTCCCAGAATTCCCCATCCAGAGCTCTTAAATTGGCCAAGGTTGTTTTAAAAACTTCCATGCAATTCAGTGATGTAATTCAATTTTTTTTACTACCAGTTCTATGGGCGTAGCTTGGTGGGCGTGGCAGGGGAAGGATATTGCAAAATCTCCATTCCCACCCCACTCTGGGGCCAGCCAGAGGTGGTATTTTCCGGGTCTCCTAACTGCTCAAAATTTCTGCTACCGGTTCTCCAGAACCTGTCAGAGCCTGCTGGATTTCACCTCTGATGCAATTCCTTTAAAAAATAAAATAAAATAAGGCTTCCGGATGCAGGAGGTAAATGCAATCCAGAATAGCTGCTATGAAAGAAAAGCGAGTCAGGGCTGAATTGCTGCCTCTTTACAGTCGAGAGTGGGACGCTGTTCGGCACTGGCAGGAGACACATTCTGATAAACGACCACAACCTAAAGAAACAAATAACAAAAGCTTTAGGACTATTTTTTTTTTTTACATAAATTCTCATTCCACAGCTCAGAACAGAACTCCTCAGTTTTCCAACAGCCTTTGGATTTAATCTATCTGCTTCCAGTAAGACTCTACAGCAGTGGTGAAATCCAAATTTTTTTACTACCGGTTCTGTGGGCGTGGTTTGGGGGGGCGTGGTGTGGTGTGTCTTGGTGGGCGTGGCTTGTTGGATGTGGTAGGGGAAGGATACTGCAAAATCTCCATTCCCACCCCACTCTGGGTCCAGCCAGAGGTGGTATTTGCTGGTTCTCTGAACTACTCAAAATTTCCGCTACCGGTTCTCCGAACTGCTCAAAATTTCCGCTACCAGTTCTCCAGAACCTGTCGGAAGCTGCTGGATTTCACCCCTGCTCTACAGCACTTTGATTCCCAAAAGAGGAATCTTGATCTTTGTTGAAGCATAAAGATAGCACTGCCTCTCTTTAAAGCAGCTGAATCCTTTTTCTGATTTCCATGGCTAGAGCTCCCTCCAAAATCCCAGAAAATGATGCAGCTGCTTTAAAAACATTAACAGAGTTGCTGGGTTCAAGCTGTCACACTTTTCAAAGCATCTTTTTGGAATTCAGTCTGAAGCGCTTGCTGGAGCCTGCACAGATTAGCTACCCCTCCTTATTTGGGTAGTAAGAACCTGATATTGTCTTCTGCCAATCAGTTGGAATCTGAGCTGAGATTTATAAGGTGGGTTTTTTTCCCTTTAGGTTTATCACAATATGAGAATCTATCCACTACCATTTATAAGCTAGATTTGCAACACAGCGTATGCGTGAAACCAAGTTATTCTTTTGTGTATACCTAGTACAACATGTGAACTCACCGCATCTTGGCAACCTTTTGCAGCAATCTTTCATCTTTGCTGCCAATGGCATCCCTTAGCCTGAAGCCATAGTATACACATTGCTTTTATTTATCATTTATTTTTATAATGCAATTCAGCGCCTATATTTAACATGTAACAAAACAGCCAGATCTGCAAAATTAATCATCATCATCATTAGCATCCTCTTTTAATGACCCCATAATCCCTAGCGTGGTGGAGTCTGGGCAACTGAATGGAGTTTAGTGTTTACTGGCCAGATGCCCTTCCTGTCGCCAATGCAGAGTTTTTTCCCAGCAGATATATTCACATGGTGCCCAGAGAGAGAAATATCTACCTAGGATCGAACTCACAGCCTCCTGATTATGAGGCAAGAGCTCCACCTCTAAGCCACCAAACCGCTCATCTGCAAAATTAATGAGTTATGGTGAATGGAAATGTGGTTGTAATCTCTCTAGGCTTTAGCTTTTTCACTCTCCTCTGGGGTCCAGATGGCACTCATCACAACTCATGCCAAAACAACCTCCATAAGTATTTTATCCTTTTAATGATCATCTCTAAAACACATATGAATCAAGGCGCCTGCACAAGAGTAACTCAGAATCTCCCTACAGTGGTACTTCAGTACTCGACTACTTCAAAACTTGTCAAATTTGGTATTTGACACATTTTGACCTGAAAATGATGTCCCAGTACTCAGCGTTTGTTTAGTATTTGATGCACTGTGATAGGAAGAGAGGGACAGCTGCAGAGAATGGAAAGGAAGTCGACCATGCTGGGAAGGTCACTGCAAAAGGAGGGGGACAAACACAGAGGACGGACAGGAAATCAGCCATGTGTCAGTATTCTGATGCTGCCATAAAAAGACGAGGCTTGACTTTTCAACCACTTATTTTCTCTGTAAATAATATCCCCTAGGAGATGGGATGGGAGGGGGGAACATTCCTGTGGGGTGAGGTCAGAAGCTGGGGAGACTGACTTGGCCAATGAGAAGATGAGAATTGGGGAATGGAAAGGGAAGGGTTTGGGGGTCAGAGGGTTAGTATCGGCTACGACGAAGTCGGGGCCAGATCTGTCGTACTCAAGAAATGGAATATTTCAGCAAAGATTAATTGTTTGGGAGTGCAATTTATTTGAGATGACATCGAAACCTGACACCATGCTGGGAAGGTCACTGCACAAGGAGGGGGATAACCACAGAGGACAGACAGGAAGTCAGCCATGCTGGGAAGGTCACTGACATAGGAAAAGGGACAGCAGAAAGTTCTTCCCAGCCAAAACAAAGAGTGATAAGTCACCTGGTTTGTTTAGGACTTGTCCTTTTTAATACCTATCACACCTCCTGAAACCAATTAACACCGAGTACCAAGTACCATTGCATATGAAAACTAGCATGAGGAGAGGAGGTGAGAAAGACATGTTATCCTATCCAAAGTAATGCCTTCCAATTCGACTATTCCGTATTATTCAACCAAATATCAGAAATCCATGTTTCTCAATCCTTTTCCTTTGATGAACTACCCATCTTCTTTTGGAAATCTTACTTTTTCAGGGAAGGTATCTCGGCAAAGCATCTTACATCCAAAAGACGCAACTGAAATGGTGATGCAAAACTCCAGGGCGGTGAACAGAGTAAGAACAATCAGTATTCCTCGGCCGATATTCTGTCAATGAAACAGAAAAGTAAGATATCCATTTTTATACATAGAGGCAGGCATATTTATCTCCAATTCTAGAGTAAGGAAGATGACCTGGGTGTGATAGGGAGGATCTATTGCCTAGGTCATAAGGAGATTGAAGTATTATTATTTTTTTTGGTCCAAAACAGAAACAGAGTAAAAGTTGGAAGGGACCTTTGAGATCTTCTAGTCCAACCCCTGCTCAAGCAGGAATCTCTATGCTATTTCAGACAAGTGGTTGTCCTCTTGCTTCTTAAAAACCTCCACTGTTGGAGCATCCACAACTTCTGGAGGCAAGTTGTTCCACTGATTAATTGTTCTAACTGTCAGGAAATTCCTCCTTAGTTCTAGGTTGCTTCTCTGCATCCATTGTTTCTTGTCCTGCCTTCTGGCGCTTTGGAAAATAGGTTGACCCCCTCTTCTTTCTGGCAGCCCCATAGATATTGGGGACAATGAGCTAACATTTGGAATGCTAGGGCCATGGCCTTCATTTTTTTTTTCTCGAATGGGTTAATTATCAGAGACATCTTGGCATTCCAAGCAGTGAGATAACATTTGGAAGTAGCCCAAGCAACTGTACAACCCAAAATAAGTACAGCCCAATCAGACTATTTTGAACCAGGTTGTTGTTTTTTTTTTATGCCACACATTAATATCTAGCAAAACTTTGACTGTGCTGTTAGAGCTGCTACCTTCAAACCTCGGCCATTCTTGTGGACAGCCCTGGTGTATATCCTTTGGAAAGATTGGGCAAAAGAAAAATACCCAAACTCTAGAAATCCCATGGTAATGACCTTTCCATGGTTAAAACTCTATTTGGGAATTTGGGGAGATTTTTAGATCTCTGTAAGGATCTGCCTCTCCTCCTTTCTCAAGAAAGTATAGACTCTTGAAACGTTGTATTTCAAAAGGAACCTTTTATTGAGAAGAAGGGACAGCAGGACAGGCGAAAGCAGACTCTAAACTCCCTCCCAAACTGCACAGTTAGAAATAGGGCTCTAGAATCCATCCCTCCAGTTTGAATGTGGATTTCAGCCAATCCACAGGTGTGAAGATGTTTATTGTAATGGCCGTCCTGAGAGCCAGATAAGGATCCATTCCCATGGTCTTCCTCCGCTTTCAACCAACCCTCCTTATTTCATTCCCAAAAGGTGAGAATATTGCAGGGCGCTTAGGCGCCAGGAAAAAGGTTATAAAATACAGCTTCCCCATGCTCCCCCCTCCCTCCATATGAATGGCAGTATCACATCAGGGAACTGACAACCTCCTCCAAAGAGATACATGCCCACTTAGAGGTCATTGTTAATTTCTTTTTCCTTCTCTGCCCTGTCAAAACCAACTTCTTACGGATGAGTTTGGGAAGGTCACATACTTATCATATAAAAGGACGTACCCGGATTGGATTACACTTTTTCTGAATTTCTTTTTCAAGGTTATGGCAGTACCAAGACAAATCGAATGGAAAGAGTACACTGAAGCTGACAAACAGGGATGCCAGGCCCAAACCAGCCGCTACAGTACTTAACACATTCATGGCCACCATGCTTTGCACCTAGGGGAGACAAAATAAATTAATAAACATGATCACAAAGACACACACACACAGGCTGGCTATGATGCAACTGAGGTTTCTCGGACAATGATGGGAACAGAAGAGTGTCAGTTTTGGATTTGCTTTCAACAGAAAAGGTGAGGTTGGCATCCTTTAACCCCTTTGCAGGACTGGCTCAAAGCCTTCTTGCTCCTCTCGAGTACCGCAGTTTGGTTGGAGACTCTTTGGCATGGCAGATTAGCCACGGTGAAAGAAGAGAGACAACTTCAAGACGTTTGCTTCCATGGAAGCAACTGCCTCGACTAACTGGAATATTCCATCACCAGAGATGGAAGCACAGAACCTCTTGGCCAAAAAAGAGCCCTGGTAGCACAGCAGACTAAAGCACTGTTATTAACACCAGCTGCCTGCAATTACTGCAAGTTCAAATCTCACCAGCCTCAAGGTTGACTCAGCCTTCCATCCTTTCTAAGGTAGGTAAAATGAGGACCCAGATTGTGGGGGCAATAAGCTGACTTTGTATAAAATATACAAAAGTATGAAGGCTGTTGCTTAACGCATTGTAAGCCGCCCTGAGTCTTCGGAGAAGGGTGGCATATAAATCAAATTTTTTTAAAAAAATCAGGCAAAAAGATTCACGAAAGACCTGCAGCTTCCAAAAAGGGAATTTGGGGGAGAGGCTCTTGAACAAGAAATCACAACCATGTGTTGTGGTCCACCAGTGGTGGAGAGATTGGGGAGGAACGTGGGCCAGTCCTGGAGTCTGGGGAAGGCTCTGATGAGGGCTCTGCATCAGAGGCAGAGATGGGGCAGGGCCGTCCGACAGTTATCAGCTGCCTTCGGAGTCGGATATCAGTGGGGCAGAAGAATAGCTGGAGCCTGTTCCCGATGTGCGCATGAGCAGAGTTTCCAGGAGAAGGGAACAGCTAAGGAACAAGGGTCAACTCGGGAGTAAAGGCACAGCTGGACGGTGAATGGCCCCTCCCATAGGGAATAAAGAGGAGAGAAAGGGGAGGGGATTTTGCAGAAGACAATTAGTTCACTTAATTGGTTCGTAACTCTCCGAGACGCCTTGCCAAGTTTTGAAGATATCGGCCTGGCAGCTCTCCAAGCCAGATAAGGTCTGTGACTGTAAATTCACCCTTGAAAGAATTTGCTGGATGTGAATGAGAAGAATTCACAGTAATTTAATAAAAAGGGTTTTTTGTCGAGACAAGGAATCTGCTTCATGGTTTGGGGAAGCCTAAATCAGAACACCATCATGATGCTCTCTTGGATCTTAGTGATCCAAGAACATCAGAAATCCACCAAGCTCCTGATTGGTAACCCAATCGGTTGTAGCTCTCCATGGTTTCAGAGGAGAGGCTTTCTCAATCTTTCATTGCTGGGGAGAAACCCTACAGGAGGAGGGTTTCTGATTAAGCCACTTTTTCTCCAATGGATTAGTTACCAGAGGCATCCTGGGATTCCAAGCAGCTGCCACAGCTAAGGATCCGGAGATGATGTACTGGAAGAAAAAGAAAAGGAAGTGAACCACTGTGGCCTCTCTATCCCCAGAGAACGGGATTTACAGTAGACACCCATAATATCTGTTCCACCTTAAACTGCTGCCTATTGTCACTCTGGTCATCTTTTGTGTTGAAAGCCAATCAACTTTCCCTGTTCTAGTTGAAGATGCAGCTGCTTTAAGGTGTCACAGCCAGGAGACACCTTGAATTTTTGTGCAACACAGCACTAACAGATTTAACAGGTTAACAGAGTTGGAAGGGACCTTGTAGGTCATCTACTCCAAATCCCCACCCACCCAAGCACGAGACCCTACACCATTTCCGACAGGTGGCAGTACAGTCTCTTCTTGAAAGCTTCCAGTGATGAAGCGCCCACAACTTCTGAAGGCAACTTCTGTTCCATTGGCTGATTGTTCTCACTGTCAGAAAATTTCTCCTTATTTCCAGGTTGAATCTCTCCTTGCTCAGTTTCCATCCATTATTCCATGTCTGGCATACAATCTATTTTTGGAAAATAGCTTGATCCCCTCCTCCTCTCTGTGGCAGCCCCTCAAATATTGGAAGACTGCTCTCATGTCTCCCCTGGTCCATTCTCTTCACTAGACTAGCCATGCCCAGTTCCTGCAACTGTTCATCGTAAGTTCTAGCCTCCAGTCCCCCAATCCTCTTAGTTGCTCTTCTCTGCACTCTTTCTAGAGTCTCAGCATTTTTTTTATAGTGTGGTGACCAAAACTGGATGCAGTACTCTAGGTGTGGCCTTACTAAGGCTTTATAGAGGAGTATTAGTATCTCCCTTGATCTTGATTGTATCCCTCTGTTAATGCAATTTAGGTTTGCATTGGCTTTTTTGGCTGCCGCCGCACACTGCTGACTCATATTTAATTGGTTGTCTACTAAGACTCCAAGATCTCTCTCACATTTATTGCACTAGTATTCAACTTAAACCCCCCCCTCTCCACATCACTATGCTCAAAGCTCCAAATGCTGCAAACAACTCTCGGCCTCATGATTTAAGTGGAATGAAGCCCCCTAAGAAGTGTAGCCACAGAATGGCGACTCAGAATGTTTATACAGACAATCCTCACCCACCACAGTTGCGGCCAGCACCCCTGTCGCTAAATGGCTCGGTGGTTAAAGCACGCTATTGTGTGACCATGCTGACTGCTGACCACCGATTCAGATGCAGTCATTAAGCAAATCGAATTGATCGTTAAGTCCAACCTCGTGTCATCGTGACTTGTGACCGACCTCCTGCAGGCTTCCCCATTGATTCTGGTTGTCAGAAGCCAGCGGTCAAGGTCGCAGATTGCAAACATGTAGCTGTGGGATGCTGCAACTTGTTGTCAATGCCAGCCAGTTGCCAAGCACCTGAATTGCAACCATGGGGGATCCTGCAATGGCCCCAAGATCGAGGACCGGTCATAAGTGCCCCTCTTCCAGCATCGTTTTTAATGTTTAAATGTTTGCTGAATGAGGCAGTAAGTGAAAACTATCTGTACGATAAGAACAAAGGACGATACTTCTATTTATTTATTTTTTATTTTTAAATTTGATTTATATGCTGCCCTTCTCCGGAGACTCAGGGCGGCTTACAGTGCATTAAGCAATAGCCTTCATCTTTTTTTGTATATTTATACAAAGTCAGCTTATTGCCCCCACAAACTGGGTCCTCAATTTACCTACCTTAGAAAGGATGGAAGGCTGAGTCAACCTTGAGCCTGGCGAGATTCGATCTTACTTTAATTGCAGACAGCTGGTGTTAAATTACAGTGCTTCTGTCTGTTGAGCTATCCAGGCTCCTGTTTTATGTTTTTAGGCTCTTAGTTCTTCAGTGTTTGAAACTTAGGAAAAAGACATCACCCACAAAATTGAATTAGTCAAAGAGCCCTTTTCCTAAAGCAAAACCTGTAAAAAGGTTTAGAGAAACCAACAGCTGGTAAACTCCAAACATCCTTCTGCGAAGGCCAGTTTGCCCTGAGGCTATTGTGATGTCCAGTTTAATGTCTGGATCATGCTACTGAATTGTTTAAATGCACCATCATGTAAAACAGGGCTGTCAAGGCCCAGGGGTCGGATCCGGTCCATGGGGCCGTCCTAGAAAATATAAGGAACCGGCCAGCCTGGCCTTGGCCCGGTCTACCCAATATGAAGAGGAAACATGCCAGCAGTTTGGGAAGTAGCATCAAGCTGGCCACGGCCACCCAGTCGGACACACCTACCCGGCCCCCCGAGGTCAACCACAGCCCTGCTGCAGCCCCCAATGAAATTGAGTTTGACACCTCTGGTGTAAAATTACCAAGATTCCACTCCAATAGGGCATCCATACAATAAGATAGAAAATACCACGTTCATCAATTATGTCGATCAGCATCCCAAAAATAATTTGTATGATTCCTATGAATATCTGTGTGATCTGCAAAGAGAAGAAAAAACAGCGCCTTCACTTCCAACTCACACAGGCAAATTTGATACCTTTCCTCGCCTCCAAAAAACCTTGAATGTTAGTAAAGTAATACAATATTTTAAAATAGAATATCTAATTATACATGCAATTCAGTGATATTCAGGAGTAGGGAACCAACAGAACTCCAGATGTTGCTGAACTACAACTTCCAGCATCTCTCAGCACTGGCAACTGGTGGTTTTATCACTACTGTATTGTTCAATAACCTTTGGAGAACCTATTTTTCATGTCATTTTAGCTATTGGCCAGTAGGAGGCACTACACAATCAGTTTCATCCTTGCTGGTACTCATCAGACATTCTCATGTTCAACCCATTTCATATGTATAGGTATAGGTATAGGTATAGGTATAGGTATAGGTATAGGTACCGTTTCCCCTAAAATAAGACATCCTCTGATAATAAGCCCTCCCCGAAAATATTTAAACGCATGTGCAGCCAGTTCCTGCCATTTCCTCTGGTTTCCTCCATGCACCCCAAAATAATAAGACCTCCCCGAAAATAAGGCCAAGTGCTTATTTTGGGGTTCAAAAAAATTTAAGACAAGGTCTTATTTTTGGGGAAACATGGTATGTGTATGTGTATGTGTATGTGTATGTGTATGTGTATGTGTATGTATATGTATATGTATATGTATATGTATGAGATGTGGTGATACAGTGGTTACAATGAGGTACTGCAAGCTAACTCACTATTCACTCCAGGAGTTCGATTCTGACCGGCTCAAGGTGGACTCAGCCTTCCATCCTTCCCAGGTCGGTAAAATGAGGACCCAGATTGTTGGGGGTAAGATGCTGACTCTGTAAACTGCTTAGATAAAGCTGTAAAGCACTATGAAGCAGTATATAAGTCTAAGTGCTATTTTAAAAGGAAGATAAATACAAAGAGAAGGGATTTTGGTATTAAATTTTATTTTTCTGAGCTTCGTGCTACGGGCCTCACCTTCCCTTAAGGGGGAGAGAGTTATATAGTTTTTAGATGTTACATTAGCCAGCCAATAAAACAAATGGATCAATGAATTTTCATGTGTGCATAACAAAGAATCCTCACGATCCTACTGCAACAGAATAGGGGACCTCAAAACGAGAGAAGCTATCGTACCACTCGTCTCCATACTCACCCCCAGTGCCAGAGGCTCACCCCGATAAAACTTTTTCAGCGGGACTGGAAAATCAGTCTGAGTGATGTAAGAAAGAGAGCCCGCACTCGTGACCACAGGCTGAGCATCCATGCTGGGCTTTGCAAATAGGGAAGTCCTTTAGGCCATCTAAATCAGTAAGGCTGGGGGACCGTAGAAAGGAAGGAAAACAGAGAGAGGATAATAAAATAGAGAGTCTTACAAAACATAAAGCATATGATCCCCATTATTAATTTCCCAATCTTCAATAGTTAGGTTCTGCATCAGGAAGCTTAGAAGGAATGCACTTTACAGTATCTTTTATCCTTAATTTGCGGCGTTTGCCTTCCCCTACAGTAGCAGACAGGGGCCTAGTCCTATCAACCATTAGCACCATTTGTGATACATTTTTAAATGTTCAGTTGACTGAGCTTCATGTTTAATGAATAAAAGAGATGATAATAATAATAATAATCACAGACTGACTACAAGCAGCGGCATGACAAAGTAGCAACAATGGTGCACTGGAAGATCTACAAGAAATATCATTTGCCTGCAAGCAAGAACTGGTGGGACCATAAAATAGAGAAAATCGTAGAACAGGAAGACGTTAAATTGCTCTGAGACTTTAGTATTCAATGTGGCACGTGCCACATAATGCTCCAGACTGAACAATTGTCAATAAGAAAGGCAAAAGTCCAGACAGTGGATGTGGCAGTGCCTGGAGACAGCAGAAGAGAAGAGAAAGAACTGGAAAAGGTAACAAAATACAAAGACCTACAAATAGAAATAGAATGACTGGACTGCCATCTGTCAGAAATGGTGTAGGGTCTCCTGCTTGGGTGGGAGGTTGGACTAGATGACCTACAAGCTCCCTTCCAACTTTGTTAATCTGTATCTGTTATCTAGATCCCCAGGGATTTCTCCACCCCTAGGCACCAGCACTTCAGAAGCTGAACTTCCTCAAAATCCACCTGCTGCTACAGGTTTGGCGTTCGTGGGATCCCGCCCTGGGTCTTCGGAGAGGGGCGGCATATAAATTGAATGAATAGATCGATAGATAGATAGATAGATAGATAGATAGATAGATAGATAGATAGATAGACAGATAGACAGACAGATAGATGATAGATAGATGATAGATAGATAGATAGATAGATAGATAGATAGATAGATAGACAGATAGATAGATGATAGATAGATAGATAGATAAATAGATAGATGATAGATAGATGATAGATGATAGATAGATAGATGATAGATAGATGATAGATGATATATAGATAGATGATAGCTGATAGATAGATAGATAGATAGATAGATAGATAGATGATAGATGATAGATGATAGATGATTAGATGATAGATGATATAGATAGATGATAGATGATAGATAGTTAGATAGATAGATGATAGATGATAGATAGAGAGAGAGAGATAGATGATAGATAGATAGATAGATAGATGATAGATGATAGATGATAGATGATAGATGATAGATGATAGATAGATAGATGATAGATGATAGATAGTTAGATAGATAGATGATAGATAGATAGATAGATAGATAGATAGATAGATAGATAGATGATAGAAAGATGATAGATGATAGATAGATAGATGATAGCTGATAGATAGATAGATAGATAGATAGATAGATAGATAGATAGATAGATAGATAGATAGATAGATGATAGATGATAGATGATAGATGATAGATGATAGATGATAGATGATAGATAGATAGATAGATAGATAGATAGATAGATAGATAGATGATAGATTGATAGATGAGAGAGAGAGAGAGAGAGAGAGAGAGAGAGAGAGAGAGAGAGAGAGAAACTGGATTGACGCAACAACACCCTTTAACGCCCTGACTTCATCCACCTGCTTGCGAAGGACGCTGAGTCGTGCCAGCTATGGAGCCCGGAAACGCGCCGATGCAAACCAAACCAAACCAAACCAGTAATCCAGTTTACAACACCCAACAGACTGAGAGCCTCGCCCGAGGGCAGCTCTAAGCGGCGTTCGATCCAACAGGTGAAACCTGAACAGCCACCCCGCCATCTCCAGCCCCGAGTGCTCAGCCGCCGTCGCGCGTAAAACCCAGGAAACGGGCTTCTCTGACACAAAGCAACGGCGCGCTCCAGAAGCGCCCCCCCCCCCTTCCCCCCCCCCCCGCGCGCAAAGACGCCCGCCGCTCGGATCCGGCTGAAAGAAGCGCAAGGCGCAGGCGATCCAGAACCGGCGCCTCCTTGCGATCTCCTGCCGCCCGGCAAAGCCCCTTTCCCTGCCCACCGACCATCGCCTCCAGCGGCTCCCGAAGGAAGAAGAAGAGGGAACCGGCCGCCTTCCCTCCCTCCCTGCCCTTCGGCGTAAGGCTGACCCATCCGCTCCAGCTAAACTCGGCTCGGTTTGGCAGCGTCCCCGTCTTCTCGTCCGGCCCAGCCGCTGCTTTAACCGCGGAGCTGAGCGTTGCCCGAGGGAGGCCCGCCCGGGAAGGAGGAGGTGATTCACCCGGGCGGATTGTCATTGACAAGGCGGCCTTTTTTTTTTTTTTAATTTGATTTACATGCCGCCCTTCTCCGGAGACTCAGGGCGGCTTACAATGCGCTAAGCAATAGCCTTCATTCTTTTGTATATTTATACAAAGTCAGCTTATTGCCCCCACAACTGGGTCCTCAATTTACCTACCTTAGAAAGGATGGAAGGCTGAGTCAACCTTGAGCCTTGGCGAGATTCGAACCTGCAGTAATTGCAGGCAGCTGGTCTTAAGCAGCTTAATAACAGGGTGCCTTAAACCCTAGTACTACCAAGGCTTTTCCGCCTCCTTCCTTTCTCTTCTCCCGGGAGAGTCGGGCCAGCGATCTGGGCTGCGAGGAAGCGGAGCCCGGAGTTTTCTCCAACCGCCAGGTTCAAAGAAGCCGACATTGTTCCTCTCTGTTTACCAGATTAACAGAATCGGAAGGGACCTTGGAGGTCATCTAGTCCAACCACCTGTCCAAGCAGGAGACCCCGCCAACTTAGGTTTCCGTTACAGGGAACATCATGGCTTGCTTGATTCTGATCTAAGAGACCTCGCAGCATCTGAAAATTTATATTTTATTCAATTCAATTCTATTTAATTTAATTTATTATTTTATTTTATGTTGTTATTTTATTTTATTATTTTATTTTTAATATATATAATATATATATATATTAAAAAATATAAGACCGGGTCTTATTATCGGGGAAACACAGTATAATGTACACTGAAGATGGCATTTAATTTCATTGTACGAGGTGCAATGACAATAAAATAAAAAAACTTTACATCATCCGCAAAAAGAGTGCAATTGCGTTTAAGTTGATCGTATAAATTGTTGATATAGAGCAAAAAAAAGCGTGGGTGGGACCTAAAATGCTGCCTTGTGGAACACCACGGTTAACCGATGCAGGATTAGACAGCGAGTTCCCTATTTTGACTTTCTGCAGTCTGTTAGACAGGAAAGCAGCAATCCACTTGTGCAAAGAAATGCCCTAAGAGTTTTAAAATATCTTTTAAAGTCTTCCAAACTCTCCTTTGCTGCAAAGCACGAGGGCCAGCAAAATGAGAACAGAGAGAGAGCATCCCAAACAATATTATCTGATCTGAATTTTTGTTTTGTTTTTTTTCATGGAGACCTTTCTGCTTCTTCTCCTTTGAATGTCTGGGCATTGAAAACTCCGGTATACAGGAAGTCCTCAACTTACAACAGTTCATTTAGTGACTGTTCGAAGTTACAACGGGGTTGGAAAAAAAGAAACTTATGATCAGTGGTGGGTTGCCCCCAGCTTGCACTGGTTCTATAGAACCGGTAGTACAACTGGCAGGAAGCTCCGCCCACCGACCCCAACGTCATCAAAATGCTTCTGCGCATGTGCAGAAGAGTGCGCGGCCCCATTGTGAACCAGTAGTAAAGGTAAGTAGAACCCACCGCTGGGCGTTTCACCCATCCGGAATCAGAAAGGTGGTGGTGGTTCCAGTTCTTTCCACTTCTCCTCCTACCCAGACCTTCCTACCCAGACCCGCAGGATGGTCACTCATTGCTGTCTGGAAGCAGATTGGACTTTTCTCCATCGCCAAGTTCAGAAGGTCTTCCTCGCCTCCTTCCCAAGTCCCACTTTGGCTTCCATTGATGGCTTTCACAAGCCTTGATCTTTGTCACTGCAGACACTTCGCAGCATCTGGATATCTTTTTAGAATAGAATAGAATAGAATAGAATAGAATAGAATAGAATAGAATA